GACCTACGAGCAAGTGTAGGTGTTTTAGAGGGCGCGACGGAGGCCGCGGATGATCGCTCAGCTGAAACGATGGTCACGGCGGACGACGCAGCAGCTTTTCTCGCCAGTATAGGCGACACGGGAGCGGCAGGCACGACAGAGGCTGCGGTGCTCAATGCAGAAGCTCTGCACGCAGGTACAGGCGACGCAGGAGCAGCGAGCGCGGCGGAGTCCTCGAGAGGGCTCGCAGTGTGATTGGCCTTGAAGGCCAAAAACTCCGAGGCGAGCTGTGGGTGGCGAAGTCGGAGGAATTCCGCGAATACAGCGTCCATGATCGCTGAGTACCCAGGTGGGGCGGCCCCGGGTCTTGAAAACACTCGCCTTGCGGCGAGGCCCCAACTTCTCGGACCTGAGCGGTTCTATTGAACACAGGTGGCAATGCGGCGCGATTACTACAGGACAAAGAAAAAGCACAACAAAACAGAAATTACGAAAAGAAACAAAACAAATAAATACTTGCAGGAAACCACTTTGTCGGCAGATGTACCACGAACACAGAAACAACAAAAGGAAACAAAACAAATAAAAACTTCCAGAAAGAGCACTTAGTCGGCAGATGTACCACAAACACAGGCCGCGCGAACAATGGCCGGGCTAACAAAAGCCGGGCGAACAAAGACCGGGCGATCGAGTGGACGATGAGCACGTCCGCACGTGACGGGTGCCTCTATCGGAATGAATATAAAGCGTGTAATAAAAACAAACTATAAACAGTTGCGCTAATAAAATACATAAAATGAACATTTGAATTTCAGTTTAATCATCAAAACAAATAAGAACAACAAATCATTTATCCAACAAAAGTCTTTACGGGTTTTTAAATACATTTTTATCTTTTCTAGTAATGAGAAACACATTGTCAAGACATTAGTTACATATTTGGTTATGACGTCATTATGACATCAGGATGAAGTGTATCCGGCGTTTGATGATTACAATATACACATGTCACTAACCACCTACATTTTAACTGATTCGCTTAGACCAAACAGATAATCTTACGGTAAACTTGTGCTTAGCTCTTTTAATGACTTGCTCGATGTCAATTTATAGAAGAAAACGTCTAATGTTTCAGTGGGGAGTGGCGGTATGGGAATCCAATGTCAACTAAAACCCTCTTTCAGATATATAAACCTAGGTCAGATCCATTCCAGACGATACCAGAATGTAAGGTAGTGAGGTGGTGGCACCGATTAATCTGACGTTTTGTCATGGGCATTGCATTGTTGTACTTTTTCCAAATAAATAAATAAAATGTTACGATTGAAAAAAAATTGAATATGTCAATCATGCTTTTCCACATAACATAGTGCTGTAGAAAATATAATTGAATGTCTGTAAAGTCGGCTTACGGACGATAGTTTTATGTGATAACGTCAATAGCAGAACTATTCGAACTGCTAGCTCTGATGTCACGTGAGAAGAGAGATAATTGTGTCACAACACAAGCCAACGCTTGGACCGGTCGTGCCTCTCTATCGCCTTCTTGCTTGCACGCTCAGGCTCAGGCGGAACGTGACACTTTTTCGTGCGTGCAGCCGGTGTTTATCGATTTATAAAAGGTCATTACGTCAAAAGTATTACAGTATACGGAATACAAAAATAATTCCATTCTAACTGCCGACTCATATTAAGTTGTTTTTATAAAAAAAAAATACGAGCATCACACAAATCGTATGCAAAAAGATGCGCATGCGTTTTAATATTAGCATATTTAACAAGAAACATTTTCATTGCAAGGATGCATGCGTCGAACGAGAATCGCATTTCAATACGACTAGCTTTATTGTTTAGATTGAATGAACGTCATATGATTCAGCTGTGTTATCGGTCAACAAACCCATAATGAAACTATGGGACAATAGGCGGCAACTTGTCTTCGCGCCAAATAGTTCAGTATCTGAATACAATCAAGATTATGTTTCAAGTTTCTGTAATGAATTGGCACAGCTGATATCCGTCCATTCATCTCGAAGGACTCATCCAAAGTTTTCAAATGTTTACTTGTTCATTTGTCTAATTTATGAGTGTAATTTAATTGTTGTGAAATACAAATGTTGTTGACAATGACACTAATAATAATAATAATAATAATTTTAAGAACTCTCTCAAAAATCATATTGTACTAATGCTTTTTGCGCGGTACGTAATGTATGACGAATAAAACAGATGACTCGCGGGTTCAATGATCTTCCCTCCGGCTTGGCCAGCTGTCTTCGCTTGGGATTACCGGCTATGAACTTGCTAATGCGACAAGTAATTAAACTTAGCTCCACAAATGCCTAAGTGGTCTATTGTTGTGGAGTGTAGCAAACGTGGGTATGTAACCACCCTTCTGCCTATTTTCGGGTTCGAAGGATTGGACAGCCGTTATACAATTGTAACTTCGATCTCATATCTCAAGGCGAATGGCGTTGTGATATAAAAACAATTTAATTCACCCATTTATGCTATAATTTATAGAGAAAATGAAATATGTATACCGTATATTTACAGGCAGCGCTTTTTCAAAAACCATTTTCATCTACTGCCATGGATTTAAAAAAATTCAATAGAACAATTAAGTATGAATAAAAATAGGTTTATAAGTAGTTTTTGAACGGTAGGCAGCGGCTTGGCATCGCTCCTGACATAGCTAACGTCCATGTCTGGCGGTAACCACTCACCATCTGGTGAACCGTAGGCTGATCAGCATACCAAGGCCATTAAAAAAAAACAACAACAAGAATAGTAATATTCATAATGAATTCATTATAATACTATGTTCAGTTTTCGCGAATCGTAGTCAAATAGTGTCGAGCGATGAGATTGAAATAATAAAAGCATACTAACTCTGATAAAGAAGATGGTTAGCTATTACCTAACATCCGGGATCCTCTTATCGCGAAGAGGAAAACCCTTGTCAAATAAACGGCCAGACTTCAAGTTACTATTGGTTCGCTCTGTGTGAAATGAATAGTTGAAGATTAGAAATGATTTTATAAAAAAATACGGTAGCTAGCATAATGTTTGAATATCAACGAATAACACCTTAGTCGTCCGTTGCCATGAATAATAATGACAATAAAAAAACACAAGATCAAATCGTCGAAATAATTTAAATTAATATCAACTATTTAAAAAATATATTATTACAATTAATAAAACCTTTATGTAACTATGGTACAGAAAACACGTGAAAAAACCGTTTTTTTATTTCTACATTAATCTTAAGTGACGCGTATTGAAACCAGAGTACTGTGAGCGAATTCTTTGTAATCGATATTATTTACGAACAGTTGATAAAAAATATATTATGTATGCTAAGAACAAAAAAAGCAGGCAACGAAAATCGTATGATATTCAAAAAGTTATTCGAATATCTTGTAGCCGTGACTTGAACTGGCTGCTAAGCCCACGAAGGCAAGGTTCCATTATGACTCACACGAGGTCTTACTTTATAAGTGCCATAATGACCGCGTTTGTTTGTTTGTCGGCTGGCAAATCGATGACCTTACACCAGCCTTACACCCACAGATGTCTGAATTGTGTTGGGTAATTGTTTAGCTGAGAGACGTTTGCACTTTTACGTAATTATAATCGCGATTCGACACAAGTGGTTCTCGAGTACTGCTGCGTCATGCATACTTGACTTTTTGTTAAAAAATCGTATTCATTGGATGAAATAGGTGACATTAGAGACACGGCTCGCATATGCTTATAAACAATTTCTAAAATATTCAAAATATAGTCGATTTTCTTTAATAATTTATTTCAGGGCCTAAAACTATTAATTATATACAAATAAATATATGAATGTATTTTTGACGTAAATTGTGATGCGTGGAGAGAAGATAATATATGTGCCTATATAGGATATGTATGGAAATGGTAGTAGAGGGGGAAGAGGTCGACTGAAGAAGATATGGATGGAGTGTGTGAATGACGATATCAGAGAGAGAGAGAGAGAGAGAGAGAGAGAGAGAGTGAGTGTTGAGAAGACGGCTGATTGAAGAGAATGTAAGACAAAAACTAGCTGTGCAAATCCGACCTAGTGGGATAAGATGAAGAAAAAGAGATAAGATTTTTGACGTATTCCAAATTGATTTAAAACCTTATATATACAGCATAATGAACAAACAGTCAGTTCATACGTGAAAGTAGGTTAAGTAAACACTTTCGTATTTCATTAGCAAGTGTTTGCAAATTCAATTTTTTTCTTCTTTTTCCTTCAGGTACTAACCGCAAACATAGGCACCCTACTTGACCTGTACGGCGTGGAAAAAGGGCTGGACCACTTCAGGTCATCCCAGGAGTTGACATTCGACGAGTTCAAATACTACCTCCAGCACGAAGTCTTCAGTTCCCTGCCGAAGACGGTAACTCTGCCTATCATCAGGGAATATGAGAAGAAAATAAGCGAGGTAACTCTATGAATTCGATTTACTACCATTTTAATTTTAATTTACCATTAATAATTTAATAATTTACTTTACCATTTTAATTGCACCTATTTTGAATTGCAATCCAGATTGTTATATTAAATATTTAAACTTATAATTTCTATGGTCTTCATTGGTTTTGTGCATAAATAAAGGAAAAACAAAATTGTCCACTCCGTCAAATAATTGATTATAAACCTACAACAAATGATTTCCACCGCAAGGACATGCGTAACAACGTGTTAATCAAATATAATTCGCAAAATTAAAGTTATTTCCGTAATTAATGATACAATTCCTGTACTTCTAAAAGCTATGTATTGCTATACCTATTTGACCCTGAAAAGTAAGTCATTGTTTGAAAGATAAGACGCCTATTGCGACTGTATCGGCGCTAAACCCAGTAGCTGGGTACCGTTTTTCTTAGCAAATATTCATTCAACGCAGGTTCGGTAGGCAGCAGCTTGGCTCTGCCCCTAGCATTGCTGAAGTCCATGGGCGACGGTGCCCTACAAGGGCAATAAAAAAAAACGCGCCATGGATGTCTGCCATTATAAAATTACCATAAAATTTATTGAATTGAATGCTAGCGCGTTAGAAGTAAATCCAGAAAAATATTACCTTTCTCCGTTCTAGGGAGATTTTCTATACTCTTCGTAATTAGAAACAAGCTTACTCCGTGGACATTGTCCGATCCAAAAAACAATAGATTTCCTTTTGTACGTTTGTTTGATCTAGCTACTTTTCCATTTCTCTTTCCCTGAAAATCGTTATTTGTTAATGCAATAGACATTTAATTAGCTAAATCTTAGTTTGTGAAAAACACATACAAATATATGAACTGAAATATAGATTATTTTCAAGGAAGAACGTTATGTTTTTATTCTTTATTTATTGCCCTTGTAGGCAGACGAGCATACGGCCCACCTGATGGTGAATGGTTACCGTCGCCCATGGACTTCAGCAATGCCAGGGGCAGAGACAAGCCGCTGCCTACCGCTTGTATTCCGCATTATCAAAATGAAAGAACGACAAACGACTCTCTTTACTACCGTCCCACTATGATAGCACCGTAATGTCCATAATCAATGGTTTTTATTCAGCTGCCATAAGTAGGGCACGATAACGAAGTGTGTACACAAAACGAATTGGAGTAGGCTGTGTGCACACTACACGAATTCCAACTTTTTATTTATTTATTACATACATGGGTGGACGAGCTCACGGCCCACCTGGTGCTAAGTGGTTACCGGAGCCCATAGACATCCACAACGTAAATGCCGCCACCCCACCTTGAGATATGAGTTCTAAGGTCTCAGTATAGCTACAACGGCTGCCCCCCCTTCAAACCGAAACGCATTACTGCTTCACGACAGAAATAGGCAGAGCGGTAGTACCTACCCGTGCGGACTCACAAGATGTCCTACTACCAGTAATTACGCAAATTTTAATTTTATGGATTTGATTTTTATTACACGATGTTATTCCTTCACCGTGAAATTGAATCGTGAATATTTGTTAAGTGCGTATTTCATTAGAAAAATTGGTACCCGCCTGCGGGATTCGAACACCGGTGCATCGCTCAACACGAATGCACCGGACGTCTTATCATTTAGGCCACGACGACTTCGCATGAATGTAAGTTCTGTTTAAAAAAGTCATTAGTCACTGAACGCACGACAAGTTAGTTTAACGTTTTTATCAATACTAGTCCCGCAGTAGTCGAAATTCGACTATAACTAATTGGAATTGTAAGTTTGTACATTATTATGATTGTATTTTATACTTCTTTAATCACATATTTCGCCAAGACTACACTATAAAAAATATTAACACAGACAAACAATATAAATCTATTCTCAATTTGACAACAGACGTCAAGAACAAAAGTTTGACAATAAATAGTATGCATGCGTGTGTGCGTCAAATACATGGTATGTAGTGTGTGTAATGTTTTCTTTATAGATTTTATGTATGTTTTATGCATTATTTAAAAAAAAAATTGGCATTGCGCACTTCTCTATATTCTCTATACCTATACTTATATTATATCAATGAAATTTATCCGTTCAATTAAACAGCATCTTAAGGTGACCATTGACATTGACATTGTCTCAGCTCAAGCTCAGGCGACCATTTCAAATATAGCAGAGCTTCAACTCAATAATAAGAAGTTGATCTTCTCATTGCAGGTGTGCTGGCTGGTCTGCCGTAAGCGTCTCCTCTTTAGGGACAAGTCGGTTTTCGGAGACGACTCCGTTTTCAAGCTCTTCAGGATATTCTGTCTTCTCGCTGACTTGGTTCAAGACGCTGACGACACCAATCGATATGTGGTAAGGTACACCTGCCATTGAGTAAACTGTTTCCACACCAAAATACTAGTGGACACATTTTAGTAATTCATTATCAGAACATAATTCTTTTGAAATTTCAAGTCTTCACGGCTCATCTGATATTAAGATTTTTCCGGATTCCATTGAGAATCCCATATGAAAGTCGAATCGCTAATTAAGACGCATGGCCACAATTCTCCTCAAATCGCAGTTGGGGTTAAATCGTGGATAAAATTCACGTTGTGCTCAATATCAAACGATGCGAATGTAGCTATGTTCAAATCCGACGGGTAGGCACCAATTTTTCCCAAGAACTATTTGTGCGTATTCACGAACGACTTCCAACTACTTTTACTGGTGGCAGGACCTCTTGTGAGTCCGCACGGCTAGGTACCGCTGCCCTGCCTATTTCTGCCATGAAGCAGTAATGCGTTTCGGTTTGAAGAGTGGGGCAGCCACATATGTCAAGGTGGGTGGCGCATTTACGTAGTAGATGTCTATGGGTTCCGATAACCACTTAACACCCATCTAAGCAATAAAAAATCACAGAGCGCCGCATAAAATATTTCATATCAACAGTACGAGTAATAAATTCGTAAATATTCAGAGTAATGCTGAAAGAAAAAAGACCACCGAGAATCACTGACGTCATACATCACATGTTCAAGAGATTACACGTTCAATTGAATTCACTTGCGAAACAGATGCTCTTTACAACACAACACGATAATGTGTTACCCATTCAAACTATAATAAAAACAATTTTAACATTGTAAATTAATATAGTTAAAAGCTAAACTACGCTGTCATAACAACTCCAACTACCATTTTTTTCGTCTCGATGATCCTTGAAAAGTCCTCAATGACCCTGAAAATTGTAGAATTCTCACCGGTGTTTGATACGCGTGCATTAAGTTTGCAGTAAGCGTACATTAAGCTAATAAAAGCTCTGATGGCGAGAAGTGTTATTATGAGGATATGGATGTCGGACAGAAATTTAAACATATATATACACCAGTCCTTAAAATAGAAATATATGAAATTTTTCTCAACGAACATAGCTTAGATCATGTCTCAACCTAATCGACTTGATTTGATTCATGAAACTTACAATTATTATTTTAAGCTATATTATAGTACATAGGCTGCGTGAAGTCGCCTACAAAAGTACTAAACCAGTGCTTCCCTTGTGACATCACCACCATATGTTAATTAGATGAACGAAATCTTAAGGCGTCAGTAGCTATAATCAAATTTCACAGGGCGAATACTATAGTAGAATTATTTTGTCCGTGCAGTTTGGGTCATAAAACATAGCCCGGCTAGGCCGGTATGCAAGTTGCGCGGGCGCAACGCCATTATCGGTAAAAACAAATGAGTCAACGAAGGCAGAAACACGGCGGCGGAGTGGTATACGAAGGGTGGTGAGATATTGTTATGTTATGAGTCATTTGTACTTACCTGCAAATTATAGTACATATTATGTCGAAGAGAAAAGTGTTTGTATGCATTAGTTCTCTGAATTTCTTTAGTGACACAATGGCTACTCCTTTGTTTTGTATCAAAACGGCAGAGTTTATTCAAAATAATATTTGCACGTGTTGTTATCAACAATGTGTTAAAAAATTTCACTGAAATAAGAATAAATCCCGAAAAGTTACAAAGTGTTAATTTCTGCCGTTCTCGTTAACTTGCTGCGGCGATATGTGGTGTAAATGTTCGATTAGTGATTTTTTCTTTTATTTTTATCACTATCCCACAAAATGACAAAACTAAATACACTGTCGATAACGCTTATCTACAACAATAATGCGCATCACTATGTCCGTCCATAAGGCTCGTGAGTGGAAGAGAGAGCGAAATAATCGCTTCACCGCTCCGATTTTTTATGACCCAAACTGCACGGACAAAATAATTCTACTATAGTTATTCATATCATAATCATTAAAACTGGAACACCGGTCACTGTTCTCGTCGAACCCGCCGCTTGCGACGAAGGGCTCGACGAGCGAATTAACCCATAGACACAGCCCACTGAGTTTCTCGCCGGATCTTCTCAGTGGGTCGCGTTTCCGATCCAGTGGTAGATTCTGCGAAGCACTGGTCTTGCTAAGGTCAGTGTTAGCAACACTCGGGTTTGAGCCCTGTGAGCTCACCTACACACATTAGGGTGAAGCTGAAATAGCCTCTCAAAAACTGGATAAACACAGAGCATCGAAAGTAACCTAAATCTTCTATGCATCAAAAGGTAGTCCTGCACCCTTCCGAAGCAGGAATCGTGGCGGAACAACTGGTCCACTGCCTCGGTCTGCGCTGGGACGCCGCTGACTGGGAGGCCCTCGGTTCTTCCATAGGCCACTTCAAATGGGCCGCCTTTCTGGCAGTCCTAGAGGCGAAGTACTGCTGCGACCAGCAACTACACAACCTAGCCTTGATAGAGGCTGTCGATGAAATTTATGATGTTTTCATTGAGGATATTATTAAGAAGGTATGGCATATTTCAGCAAAGTACCTTACTTTACTTACGCTTAATTGTTTGAATATTTCATTGAATTCGACTCGGACCGAACTGAAGTTTAATTATTAGGTACCTTCATTACTTACTAATTAGGGGGTTAAGAATTAAGGAGTTTGGTAAGTTCTTTAAATCACTATCTTCCAAAAGGCCCTTTGGGTCTGATGGCTTTTCGCTTATAATAATAGTAGTTGTTTTTACTCAAATTTATCTTACCTTGTAATAAACTCTTTTTTTTATTGCTTAAATGGGTGGAGTAGCTTACAGCCTACCTGGTGTTAAGTAGTTACTGGAGCCCATAGACATCTACAACGTAAATGCGCTACCCACCTTGAGATATAAGTCCACCTTGAGATATAAGTTCTAAGGCCTCAGTATAGTTACAACGGCTGCCCCACCCTTCAAACCGAAATGCATTACTGCTTCACGGCAGAAATAGGCAGGGTGGTGGTACCTACCCGCGCGGACTCACAAGAGGTCCTACCACCAGTAATTGTAAAACTTTGAATTGAATAAAAAAATGCAATGGACCTGTTTACTAATTTCAGGGTTACCTATTAAAACGAGGATATCTCTTACCAACGATGCGTGAATACTGGTGCGTGCTGCAGCCCTGCGCCCTCACATACTACAAGAGCTCGTCGCAGAAGGAGCAATGCGGCAGGATCGTCATAGACGAGTACTGTTCGGTGGAAGCATCGGCAGGAGACGGAAAGATACAGCGCTTCCAACTCATAACCCCTGATCGGACTTTTGAATTCGGCACTCAAGATCACAAGTGAGTCGTCGATTTGTACGTTTATAAGCTGAGTAGGCTTCTCACAACATAAACAGACGGCTTATTGAGGTTCGCGGAGATTTGCTGGATGCAAGCAGCGAAGGACCTATCCTTGTGGCGACGTTTGGGAGAAGCCTATGTCCAGCAGTGGACGTTTGTGGGATTATAGAATAGAATAGTGAACTTCTTGGATTATTAGAAAAACAATACATACTTAAATTCATAGTTTGATCAATATTTCTAACAGCAATAACTTCTACTTCTTGTTACCTTTATCCCACATCATTTGTGGTCGGCGTAGCTCTTATGATGCTGTACAGAGCTTTGGCATGAGTTACGACCGGACACTTGACAACTCTTCTTTTTTCTTTTCCTACCTAAGTTGATAGCCTTGAGAGGCTATATCAGTGTAACCTAACAAGTAGATGAGCTCACGGGGCTCAAACCTGACGTTGTCATTAACACGAACCCTAGCAAGAGCAGTGCTTCGCAGAATCTACCACCGGATCGGAAACGCGACCCACTAAGAAGATCCAGCGAGAAACTCAGTGGGCTCGCCTGTATACGTAGTATATTCATTGTAACGTGCTATAGAGAGGAACTTTGTTTCTTTTTTTGGTGTTTATTTTATACCATCTGTTTTTGATTCTATGAATTTCATTTTAATGTTATTATTATCGTTATTATTATATTAATAACGTAATGGTACATACATGACTTTTTTTTAAGTTTCATTATACATTGTACTTGATATATAAAAACCATGTTGGTTTTATGTCAATCAGAAAACAATGTGGTATTTAATATTAATATTTCCTTTTGTATACTTACTGTCCAACTTCAGTAGGCATAATATAACTCATGATAGAGATAGATGAGATATCACTATTAATGAGGTATAAGAGTGTTGTGAAGGACATGGTGAGGCGGCTCCAAATGTTTTGATCATAATATCGTCCTACAATATGATACTGAAAAATACAAGGTCATACTGAAAATAAGTCATAGTTTCTTTTGTCAAGCTTACAAGAATTTTCGTAAGACGCCAAATCGTTGGTCCGCGCATAAAATTTCTTAATAAAGTCCACTGTTAATTACAACATCTGTGAACATGGCAATCATCGCCATTGTAATTCATGAGCAGTTGTTCAAAACATTCAACTACTTGTGGTGGTTTTTTACTGGTGGTAGGACCTCTTGTGAGTACGCGCGGGTAGGTACCACCATCCCGCCCATTTCAACCGTGAAGCGGTCGAAGGTTTGAAGGGTGAGGCAGCCGTTGTAACTATACTTGAGACCTTAGAACTTATATCTCAAGGTGATTGGCGCATTTACGTCGTAGAGTCTACGGGCTCCAGTAAGCACTTAACACCAGGTCGGCTGTGAGTTCGTCCGTCCATCTCTTCTTCTCTTCTTTGTCGTTTCCTCATTACTGAGGGTCGTGACCACCTTGGTCCAGCTTTTGCACCAGCCTCCTCCAATGTTGCCTGCATTCGGCCTGCTTAATGGCGCCCGGGACGCTGGTGTTTGTGGCCTCCTTGATAATGTCCGTCCACCTGGTTGGCAATCTTCCTCGACTTCTCTTTCCTTCCACGTGACCTACAACTATTAATTTTTCCAAGTTCTCAGGATTTTGTCGGGCCACGTGTCCGAAGTACTTGAGGAGACGCTGCATACAGATTGTAGATAGACGGGTCTTGACGTTTAGCTCCTCGAGAAATGACACATTTGTTCGGCGCTCCGTCCATGATACGCCCAACATTTTGCGCCAACACCACATTTCAAATGCGTCAATTCTCGATCGGGTACGGGCCTTGAGGGTCCACGTCTCAGAAGCGTACAAGAATATGGAGAAGATAAGGGTTCTCATGAGCTTTATCTTAGTTTTTTTGTTTATGCCATCATTCCGCCCATCTAAGCAATAAAAAAAAAAAAAACTGGTCTTTAACCTACGCAAACAGAAGTCGCCTCCAATGGATATCGTCGTTGCGTCAAGCGACCGCAGTCTCGGGTGGTGCTGAAGGCTATCAGCGCAGAGCGAGGGCTGGGAGAAGAGGAGCTGGGGCCAGGAGAGAGAAGGAAGCAAGAGAAACGAAAGCCAGACTGCAGCATGAAGTTAGAGCCAGACTAGCAGCTGAAGCACAAGCGCAGGTCAGATTTGTCATGAAATTCAATTTAGCACATCTACCGCTAATGAAATGGCGACATTTAGCACACTTACGGTTTTAGGTGTTGGTTTGGTAGTGGTTAATAATGGTTCAGGATATTATCTCTGTTCATTAAATATTTATAACTACTGATACCATGCACCCCACGCTTTTTTTACAATAAAAGCGTATTTTTTTAGTTTTTTTAAACTATAATTTATTTTGGTCTACCTGTGCTAGTAACCTCTAGAGGCTATCCTAGCTTCACCGAACGGGTAGGCGAGCTCATAAGGCTCAACTTGGCGAATTAGCTAACAAAGGACTGCTTCGCTAAATAAAGTCTAAAAAAAATGTTTATCACATCGCCCGCCACCATTGTAGCTTTCATCCATACTACCTGGAGCCACAGCGGTCATCCACAGTGCGTTACAAGAGGTATTTTTTTCCACGTCCCATCCGGCTTTGGAATGAGTTTCCCCTACACGGTGTTTCCCGAGCGCTATGACATATCCTTCTTCAAACGAGACTTGCGGAGAGTACTTAACGGTAGGCAACGGCTTGGCTCTGCCCCTAGCATTGCTGAAATCCATGGGCGACGGCAACCACTCACCATCAGGCCGTATGTTCGTCTGCCTACGAGGACAATAAAAAGAAATCCGTTGTAGAGTAAATATTTTCTATATTTTCAGGAACTAGCAGAGCTATGTGAACAGGACAACAAGAAGCTAGAAGAACTGAGAAACGCACAAATCGAACTCGAGAAACTGCTGCAGGAGGAGACCCAGGCCAAACGAGACGAGGAGATTGTAAGGGCCCTACAAGCAAGGTGAGCTCCTCACGAGGAGAACGCTGAATCGCGCTAACGACATTACCAAATAAACTCACAGGTGACAGAGATTTTACAGAGCGGTCTACGGAATGAGCTCCAGTAGACGGTGGCTTAACTATACCCCTGATGTTGCTAATGCCCATGACTGACGCTGACTACTTACCATCAGATGGGCTCTGCACTTATCTACCTATAATGGCAATTTAAATTATATATAAAAATAGTGTTACGCCATCCCTGCAACGCTTTATAGTCAATACCACATCCCTAGAATTATCGAGAATATTCCACAGATCTCTAGTATTGTTTCCACTATCTGAGAATAGATGGCGTGGTACTTCTCGAGCTTTCTAGGTCCTTCGATATTCGTTCGACTATTCGGTGATAGATGGCGTTACTCTTACCGGCGTAACAATAGTCATAGTTATGTCTGCGCCTTTCAAAATACCTATGGAAATACTAAATTATTGAATTTGTTTTACAAAAGTGGGTAGTCAGTCATGAAGTTAATCTCTTTTGCTTTTCATTATGTCATCTCCTATTGGTCCTTACACATATTCCATTTTCTTTGCTAGTGGTTTGCTATAAGAAAATATGTATGAGCTTGTCTCAATTTTGCACTAAGATGATCTTCTAAATATATTTTTTTGTGTACAATAAATTATTCACAATTAACAGATTGCGATTACAAATTTAAAATTCCAAGCTACCTCTATATAAAATTAAGTATTGTATCGAATATATAGCATTAATCAATTGGAACAAAGTTTGTCTAGATTTTTTTATTTGCTTTGGCAGCCACTACAGTCATCAACTTGCACAAATCAGCTCGCTCTAGACAATCATTTAATATTTCAGAGTATTAGCCGAAGAATGGGAAAGACGAGAGGAATTAGAGCGTTTGCAAGAAGAACAAAACAGAATGCTGGAAGAAGAAAGAATGAAACGTAAACAATTCGAAATTTTACAAGCAGAGAAAGAAGCACAATATAAAGGTATGTTTTTTTTTCTATTGCCCTTGCAGGCAGACGAGCATACGGCCCACCTGATCGTGAGTGGCTACCGTCGCCCATGGACTTCAGCAATGCCAGGGGCAGAGCCAGGCCGCTGCCTACCGCTTAATACTCTCCACAAGCCTCGTTTGAAGAAGGACACGTCATAGCGCTCGGGAAACACCGTGGAGGGGAGCTCATTCCGAAGCCGGATGGTACGTGGCAAGAAAGACCTCTGGAAACTCACTGTCGTAGCGGTTCCAGATAATATGGATGAACTCTGCTCCGATGGCGGGTCTGCTCTTTTGTTAAGGAAAAACTTTTTCGATCGTGTTTTGCAATTTCTTTAACTCGGCATCGAGCGGACGCCGGCACTCATAGATATGTCAATATCGATGTGGACAACGACATATTGACACATTATTACTAATTTTTTTTATATTGCTTAGATGGGTGGACGAGCTCACAGCCCACTTGGTCTTAAGTGGCTACTGGAGCCCACAGACATCTACAACGTAAATGCGCCACCCGCCTTAAGGTATAAGTTCTACGGTCTCAAGTATAGTTACAACGGCTGCCCCACCCTTCAAACCGAAACGTATTACTGCTTCACGGCAGAAATAGGCAGGGCGGTGGTACCTACCCGCGCGAACTCACAAGATGTCCTACCACCAGTAGACACTCAATGATCGCCATAGTCTATTCACCGGTGAATCCCCTAGTCTTCTTAATGACCCGGAGAAAGAGTTGGTGTGACCTCAAATCTTCACATAAGACGTACAAGCCAGTGATATCGCTTATATCCACCACAGAAGCGGCACAGCGTTTGAGAGACCTTGAAGATGAGAAGCAGAGGCTGGACGCGGAACTGAAAGCGGCTCAGGAGAAGATATCGAAGACTGAACTAACGGCGCACGCGCTACATGTACAATTGAGGGTAAGCTCATAAGAACGTTTCTGTTTTCCTATCATATTTACCCTCGTTTTTGCGTGTTTGGCGTGAAGCATCCGAGTTTTCCAGTTGGAAGATTGAGATTTAAGCCTTAATTAAAGTCTTCACAGCCTTGGTATCCTGGAAAAGTGCTGGAGGTTCAATGTTGTTCGTCTACCTCCTAGTCTCTTAATATCCATTTTAGTTATTTTTAATGTCACTTATCGTCAAGAGATGGCGCTGACTGCCGCTTCCACATCACTAATTGACAGTTGCCTTTTTAATTGTACTAGTGGTCGCCCAGTAGTCGAAATTAGAATATAAATATTGGAATCATAGTCCTTTAAGCCATTCTATTTATTCTATTCTCAATTTGACCATAACAACAAAGAAAATAGTATGTATGCGTGTGTATAGTGTGTGTGTGTGTCAAATACATGGTATGGTACCTAGAGTGTTTAATTATTTTTTTATTTAATGTATTTTTATAGGCATAGGTAATTCATTCTATATTCCCTCTCTATATTCTCTATACACCTAGGAAATTTCATACTCCTCCGACCGCGCAATTTTCTTAAAAAGCTGTACCATTTTTTGCTTCACGTATTAATATATAGATTAATTGTATTAGTGACGCTCTAATACTGGCGTCTCGACTACTTTTTCGGTATCAGTTCCAAGAGCCCGTATTGTTACTTGCAGGATCTGAGTCCGGCGTTACGTAACGGGGAGAGAGCGAGACGGGCTGTGTCCTTCGTGCCGACCACGAAGAGCTCATCCGACACCCTCATCGACATCAAAGCCATCCGCCACTCGAAGGTGATCGATAACAACGAAAACGTATGATTAAAAAACTAGTAGTTAATCTTTGAAGTGAAACTTCTAATGCGACTTCTACCAAGGTAGCGTTAAACGTTTAACGCTACAATGGAATAGAAAGAGACAGAGCGAGAGGGAATGCGCGGCACTCGAACGCATGCGCGTAGTATAACTGTTACAGCGCGAGCGTTAGCAACGAGTAGCGTCCAATATTTTAATGAAGTATTTAAAATATATATAAATATTCATTTTTCTATTTATAATTTAAAATATATATAATATAAATGTTAAAGATATCGCATCTCTTATACACATCATTCCTATTACAAGACCAATCTGATTGAAGGATGAAAAATGAAGAAAACCACAATACTACACATCGAAAAAGAAGTTTCACTTCATTCACGCGCACCGTTTTTTTTTTGCTTGTATCTCAATAGTGTTGTATCACATAGTGTTGTAGTACTCAATAGTTATGTGTTGTGTCCTATAATAATATATTTTTTGTTAATGTCATCATACTGGTGGTAGGGGAGGTTGGGTCGGGGTTGGGACAGTCGTTTAAACAACACTTTTCATGAACTCAGACCTGAGACCTCACGTTTCAAGGTGGGTCGTTCAAGTTATAGCATCTATGCCATATCGGTGACCGCGACTGAAAAAAATTTAGAACACAATTTTTTTCGATTACACAAGTTAAGGAGCTCACGGTCTACCTAGTGTTAAGTACCGGAGCCCATAGACAACAACAAAGTAAATTCCGTCACCCACCTTGAGACGAAATCTAAGTCGCAGTTCTATACAACGTCTGCCCCGCCCTTCAAACTGGAAGGATTTACTGCTTCGTGCCAGAAATGGACAGGTACATACCCGCGCGGGCTGACAAACTTGCTGGACGGCAAATAAAACTGTTTTATTTGAACTTGCCTTACTATCCACTACCCTACTTCTTTAAGCAACCATTCCGCACACATGTAATAATAGAATATAATATTTATTGCTGACACGTAAGATTGAAATACCTGTACCAATTTGTCAGACAGGTCCCAAACATTGTCCTAAATATGATTAAAATGTATGTGATTGACGTCAAACATAGAATGGATTAAAAATTTGAGCAATTGAAATTATTGCCAGTTTTTAAGTAAATTAAGTAAAGTTTGTGGAAAATTCAATAAAATCCTCATTAAGCGATACCATTCAAAGATTTCATGGTGACCCTAATAAGTGACGCAAAACATTTGGCAAATGAGTTGGCGCCCAGTATCGTCAATAGACAAATGAGTTGGCTTCCAAAAGCGGCCAATTGACAAATATTGGTCCAACATAAACTATATGTAAGATAAAATAAAAAATGGTGCTTGTAACATAAAAAGTAATATGCAAAACAGCAAATCCTATATTCGTGCCTTAGTTGTATGTGTAATTATATGTCGAGGGGTGAAAAGCTTTTAAAATAGGGCTTAAGCGACATTTTTACAACTTCACACGAGAGCCATTTAAAGTTTAAAATTTGGAAAAAATATCATTACGACAAAAACTTCTTCAGCTATTTCAATGGACTAAACATAATTGAAGTTCAATTAAAAACATCAAATTTGTTATCGAATACTAATACCAAATAAATGGACCTTTAATTACAAAGATAAATGTCGCGCATTAAAATAGTTTTCACTCCTCGATATAGCAAGACTTGTGTATTTTATTATGTCTGTTTATATCGTATTTACTCATGTTTATTAGATAATTTTTATCTTTGACAATATCAAACTTTAAAATGCACCTTGACAAAAAAAAACAGTTGTAATAAAAGTATCGGCAACCCAAAGTATGTACTTAATGTCGCAATGTGTACAAATTACAAGGTCTTAAATATTATTTCAAAGGTGTATTCAGATTACTTTATGTAAAAAAAACCGGATACGTTCTATGCACCCTCAAAACTGTGTGCTTAATGCGAGTTTCTTAATGCTCTCGTTAGCGTAAAAGTTAACCTAATTTTGTATGCAGTTGGAACAGCGCCCCTAGCGGCAAACGTACGCAAACGATCCCATTCCTTAACAAATATGAGCTAACTTTTACGCTATCGAGAACGTTAAAAAACTCGCACTAAGCACACAGATCAAACTTATATAAGTCGAAAAATTACTTTAGATCTAAATTCAGAGGCTATTTTTCTAAGTGGGAAGTTACATTTCAATGCGTTTCGGTTTGAATGGTAGGGCAGCCGTTGTAATTATACTTTCTACCTTAAAACTTATATCGCAAAGTGGATGGCACATTTACGTTATAGATGTCTATGGGCTCCAGTAACCACTTAACACCAGGTGGGCTGTGAGCTCCTCCACCCATCAAAGCAATAAAAAATATATTCAGAAACGCGAAGTACTTGTGCCTGTATATTATTTACGAATTAGTTCTGTTGATTTTTAATTTTTAAATTTATAGATATTGTCTCTGTCAATAAACAATTGATCACATTTCGAGTAAGTTTCTAACGTTTTCTTTTTTTCTAGAAAGATCCTGTCCAAAAACTATTACTATTAAAAGAATATCAATTAAAAAAAAAAAAAAAAAAAAATACTCTGTAAAATATTTATTTTGAATAAAACCATATTATTTGACTGTATCACTCTGTAAAATATTTATTTTGAATAAAACCATATTATTTGACTGTATCAATTATTTTATTTCCCATAGCTTTATTGAAATTTATTATTTGACACAAATTTGAAAATACAGTACAATGATTCAATAAATTAAATAAAGGAACATTAACTATTTCTTTGGTGGTTTCTTGTTTGCCGCTGCAGCAGCTGCTTGCATCTTCTTCTGTATCTTTTTTAACTACAGGAAAGGATAGGAAAGGGATTAGGAATTGGTTGTGGGATCAACTAATCACTACACACATTAATATATTATCATTTTGTTCATATAATCTGCACCTACATCAATAAAAGGTAATCTGTATATTTTCCACATAACCTCGAGAAGTAGACTTTTTGGCGGGAACGCGAGAAGTGAAGTTGTGTGATGTGTTTTTTTTGTCTATTTAGTGTTTCTTCAGGTTAAATGTGTAATAACGTTGGTTTATTAACTGTTTAATATCTGTGAAAGTGCACAAATATGGGAAAATGAAACAAAGCCGGTGGACGTACATTACTTCTCGGGATCCTCCTAAAAGTCCACTGAAAAAATCTCAGTAAATGACCACCATTTTACTGAAATTATATTTCATCCCATATCATCTCATCATATTTCATTTAATTTGATCCCAGTTGATTAATGTTTCAAATTAAACATCTTCATTTAATTTCATTCTATATTATTGTTTTTCATAAAAATAAGAATGTAAATTAAAATAAGACATGACCAGGTCAGGTCTTATTTTATTCATAAAATCCCTTAATTAAATAAAAACCTCGAGAAGTTATTTTGTGTGCTTAGTGCGAGTTTTTTAACGTTCTCGATAGCGTAAAAGTTAACTCAAATTTGTATGCAGTTGGAACGTTTGCCTACGTTTGCCGCTAAGGGCACTGTTCCAACTGCATACAAATTTGAGTTAACTTTTACGCTATCGAGTACGTTAAAANAGTTGGAACGTTTGCCTACGTTTGCCGCTAAGGGCACTGTTCCAACTGCATACAAATTTGAGTTAACTTTTACGCTATCGAGAACGTTAAAAAACTCGCACTAAGTAAGCACACTGAACGATTTAACTAGGTATAACGTTTGGTTACAAATTAAATTTACGAAGGTAAAATATAATTTGTTAATAATTTCATAACAAACTAGAGCACTAATGAACACACGTTACGTTTTTTTTTGTTCATTTCTTGCTATGAAATTTCATTCCGTTCGGAAATGAAATTACCATTTCACAAAAATAATAATAATAATAAATAAATATTTTACTAACAATCACGCCATGTTAACTGGTCCCGTGATAAGTTCGTAAAGAACTTGTGTTACAGGTACCAGATAACGGATATACCTAAATGTAATATTTTTATTATACACATACATATATTTAATATACATCCATAACCCTGGAATAGACATTTATATTTATCATACAAATATCTTCCCTTGGCGGGATTCGAACCCGCGACCCCCTTGTGTAGTGACCATGTCACTTACCACTACACCAGACGGCCGTTAAATAATATTTAGGTGATCATTTTATTTTAATTTTTAACGTCATCTTTATTTATTTATTACATTATATATTTTAAAATTTGAAAGAATTGCACAGTTTCGTAGGACATTCCTGAATGTTTCTGCCGAAACAATAGAGGTAATTGAATCTAATAACATTCTTGTTACTGTATCTATGGATTACGTAATCATTTTCAATTAACTTATAAAACTTATTAGCTTATTTAACCTAATGGCATTAAAAAGATAGTAATTTGATGGATATAGATAAAATAATACTGAATGATGTAAAGGAATCGATTGGAGTTTTTTAAGGATAAAATTACGTCTTCTTCTTGCCTTTCTTAGCTCTTCCCTTTTGATGCTTAAAAAAATAGTTAATGTATTAGATTAAACAATTAAATGACAGATGGAAGCTTATTATGATAAAAAAGCATTTCGACAGGTGATATTTAGTTTAAGCGCCATTTTTACAACTTTACAGGGAGCCATTTAAAGTTCAAAATTTGGAAAAATATCATAACCAAAAAACTTCTTCAGTTATTTCAATGGGGTCAGCTTAATTGAAATTCAATCCAAAAACATGGAACTGTTGATGCAAATCTTAATAATATTATAACTAGTCAGGTCATAAGTATTGTCACACAGTAAAAACTTTTCTTTTAGAATGCTGGCCACAAAAAGTTTATTGAATTCGAATTTCGAATTGTTCATGAAAATAAAAATGTATACTTTTAGAATTTTACTCATTTTTAAATATGGAGTGGACGCTTAAAGAAGACCGTGTTGCAGTTATTGCGTTGCATCGTTGCGGTTACGCGCCAATTCAAATTTTTAACATACTGAAAAATTTGAATATAACCAAAAGATTCGTTTATCGTACCATCAAACGATACAATGAAGACTCTAGTGTAGATGACAGGTCAAGAAGTGGTCGCCCTCGGTCTGTTAGGACTCCAGCAGTGATAAAAGCTGTGAAGGCGCGAATTCAAAGAAATCCCAAACGTAAGCAGAAACTGTTGGCCCTTCAGATGGGGTTAAGCAGAACCACGGTGAAAAGGGTGTTAAATGAAGACTTAGGGCTTCGGGCATATCGAAGAAAAACAGGACATCGTTTGAATGCTCGTCTAATGGACCTGAGACTGAAGAGATGCCGCGCTTTGTTGAAGCGGTACGCGGGAAAAAAATATCGGGAAATTCTTTTTTCGGATGAAAAAATTTTTACCGTAGAAGAGAGCTACAACAAACAAAATGATAAGGTGTACGCACACAGTAGTGAAGAAGCGAGCAACCGTATTCCGCGTGTCCAACGAGGTCATTTTCCATCCTCGCTCATGGTATGGTTGGGAGTTTCTTATTGGGGCTTAACAGAGGTACATTTTTGTGAGAAAGGTGTAAAAACGAATGCAGTTGTGTATCAAAATACAGTCCTGACGAACCTTGTGGAACCTGTTTCTCATACCATGTTCAATAACAGGCACTGGGTATTCCAACAAGATTCGGCGCCAGCTCATAGAGCGAAGAGCACACAAGACTGGCTGGCGGCGCGTGAAATCGACTTCATCCGGCACGAAGACTGGCCCTCCTCCAGTCCAGATTTGAATCCGTTAGATTACAAGATATGGCAACACTTGGAGGAAAAGGCGTGCTCAAAGCCTCATCCCAATTTGGAGTCACTCAAGACATCCTTGATTAAGGCAGCCGCCGATATTGACATGGACCTCGTTCGTGCTGTGATAGACGACTGGCCGCGCAGATTGAAGGCCTGTATTCAAAATCACGGAGGTCATTTTGAATAAACTTTAGTGTCATAAGAATCTATGTTTTGTTAAGTTCATTTTGGTATATGAATGGTTACATAATGAATAAACTTGTTTCAATTATTTTACATTAAACATGTGACAGAATTTATGAACTGACTAGGTATATATAAATGAATTGCTGTTCGTTAGTCTCGCTAAAACTCGAGAACGACTGGACCGATTTGGCTTTGGTCAATTTTGGTCATTTTGGTCTTGAATTATTTGTGGAAGTCCATAGAAGGTTTAAAAGGAAAATTCTCAGAATTATATAAAAATAACAATATTATTTATCCTCTGATGTGTCCCCGTCGGACGGATTCCTTTTGTTTGTTTTAAGTTTATTTTATACAAAAGTTTAGGTCTTTTATTTATCGATCGAAGCACTACGAAGTCTGCCGGGTCAGCTAGTATCAAATAAAACGCACCTTTAATTACAAAGATAAGTTAGATTTTTACTCGCGTTTCGTTATTTTTTAAATATAAAGATTATTCACATGTTTTAAATCTCACGTAGGTATACATATAATTCCAACTTAATTGGCTTAAAAAGGTACAAAATTTCATTGTCACGTTTACAGAAATTTGCAATGTTTCTAACCTTCTTCTTTTCGGCTCGATTAGCCAGTACGTCTCTCCATGCGGTCTGAATGACCCTGGCCGCGTGCTCCAGCATGAACTTGTTCATCTTCTCCGTCATCTCCTTGTGGTATTCCTCTTCCCTCTCTGCCATCAGAGGAATGTACTCTTTGTCTTGTTCGGCTAGTTTTTGCTAAGCGTGTAAAATGATCCAGTTTATTTAGTATCAATCCATTAATACTAAAACAACTACCTACATTAATTTATTTATAGAATCATATTTTTTTTATTTTTTTTTATTGCTTACATGGGTGGACGAGCTCACAGCCTACCTGATCTTAATTGGTTACTGGAGCCCATAGACATCTACAACGTAAATGCGCCACCCACCTTGAGAAAGTTCTAAGGTCTCAAGTAAAGTTACCACGGCTGCCTCAACCTTCAAACCGAAACGCATTACCGCTTCACGGCGGAAATAGGCGGGGTGGCGGTACCTACCCGCGCGGATTCACTAGAGGCCCTACCACCAGTGAAACCTCTCGAAATTGGTTGTACAATAATTCGTATTGTAGTCGATATGAAATATCTCACATCTTCATTCTAATGACGATAGTGGTCATAGTTTGTAAATTCATTTGTTACCGTTCAAAATGTAATTTGAAATTTGGCTCACTCATGAAGAGCCTATGACAATACAATAATAATGCGATGCATGATGCGCTTTTTATAATATTTCATAATGACTACTTTTATCGATACGTAATCGTCAAAAAAATTTACAAAAATTTCAATCAAAATATTAAAAAATTACGATAAAATGATTTTTCTTCGTCACATTTTTTTAAAATTTTAGAATAGGTATTATTTTCTAATATTCAACTACATACAATAGTATGTCTTTTGGTTTTTTTAATTACTAACATACCGCAACGTTAAAGATGCCCTACTTGAAAATTAAAAAAAAACTCAAACCACACACACACACCTCCAAAACTTCACATTTCTGTAATTCGTCTTCGTACTTCTCCGTAAGCTCATCGAGTTCGATTTGCTTCTCGCCCATTTCGAGATCGTATTTCTGAAGCCAGGACAACAGCTGCGTCTCGACTTTGAACCTAAAATCCCACGGACGAACGTTTACAATCCGACTTTCCAATGGCTCAATTATGTTACACGATCAGTATGCTTAGTGCGAATTTTTTAACGTTCTCGATAGCGTAAAAGTTAAGCTAACTTTGTATGCAGTTAGAACAGCGCCCCTAGCGGCAAACGTACGCAAACGATCCCATTCCATACAAATATGAGTTAACGTTTACGCTATCGAGAACGTTAAAACACTCGCACTAAGCACACTGATGCAATAAACGATTCGCAATTAGCTTTAAACGCATTCGATTCCATTAAAAGCAACGCAACGCACCTTCGGGCCCTCTGATTCTTCTCATCGGCGAGGTGAGTCCTGAGCAAGTTCTCGTATGACTCCTTGCATTCGTTTTCTTCTTCTTTGAGCATATCGTTCTTGACGGCGTGCGCTCGTGAGGCCAACACCATCTGACGTTCAGAATCTAAGCTGGAAACGGATTTGAAAAATCAAATTTTGCCCCGAGAGTTTCGCGTGGTAATAGTTTCGTGGTAATCTATATCAAATGCTTTTATTAATCAAATTAGGCCTTTACAATTTTCAAATCGTTACGACTCCCATCACCGTTTCATCACACCGAAAAGTTGAGCAGAAACCCAAAAAACTCAGAAAACCTATTCCAATATACTATATACATTTGTCAAAACAGTATATAATACTAGAAAGTAGAACAGGTTCACATTACTGAGAGCTAACTAAAGACCTGTACAAATCAATACAACCAGTCACCGTCTTCGTCGAACCCGTCGCTTGCGACGAAGGGCTCGACGAGCGAATTAAGCCATAGACAGCCCACTGAGTTTCTCGCCGGATCTTCTCAGTGGGTCGCGTTTCCGATCCGGTGGTAGATTCTGCGAAACACTGCTCTTGCTGGGCCAGTGTTAGCAACACTCTGGTTTGAGCCCCGTGAGCTCACCTACATGTTAGGGCGAAGCTGGAATAGCCTCTCAAGGCTATCAGCATAGGTAGGAAAAAAAAACAATACAAAAATTAAATACTTCGACTATTACATGACGCCAATCACCTTAAGCCATTGCTAATTTATAATACTCATTGTCTTTACATTATCCTAGACATCAACAATACTAAGGCATCGTCAGACTACGACAGTTTCAGATAAAATTTCAGGAATTTATAGCTGCCGTTAAAGTATAAAAAGCATTTGATTCCAAAGACGGCCACCCATGTCAAATGACTGGAACATTACTGCCAAGGGAGCGATGATACGACGTGAGCCTTTCAAACAATTATTTCAAAGCGTTTTCTTATAATAATATATTTCTTTTTCAATTCCATCTGCAAAACCCCATACATCGCTTACAGAAACAGAATGAAATGTCCAATACGATCCATTAAACGAACAGCAAGCATTATTTTGATTGCTTTAGAACGTTATAACCTACATTTTCTTTTTAATTTTCAGGGAGGCTTCGTGATTGAGCATCGCTAGTTCTTTTTGTAGCTTAGTAATGATTTCAGTTTTGAGTTTCATCGTTTTTTCAAATCTCTCGCTTTCCTCCTTCAGTTTAGTTGAATATTCTGAAAAAATAAACAAACGAAGATATAAAAAAAAATAGATTCGCATTAATTAATTAATTGACAGCTCTATGGAAAATTCCAGATGAACTAGATTCAAATGATACTGAAAATCGGGTAGATAATCTTTTACCATATAACATTTCAATTTACTTTGAATATGAAAGGTATTCAGTTTGAGAAGGAAGTCGGAAGATTGTTTTAAATCGTCATCGGTGTGTTAACTATAACATTGTTTTAATGAATACCTAGAATGATTATGTTAATATTTTTGACGGCGCGTTCGGTGTTAGATTATACCTACATAATTATAATTAAGAATTACTAATGAATGTTAGGAAACAATACATTATGCTACGCCGGTAAGAGTAACGTCATCTATCGCCGAATAGTCGAACGAATATCGAAGGATCTAGTAGCATCAAGAACGCTCGAGAAGTACAGCGGCATCTATTGTCAGATAGCGGAAACACGATACTTGAAATATGTGGAATATTCTCGATAATTCTAGAGATGTGGTATAATAGGCTAGAAAAGCGTTGCAGAGATGACACGCAGTTAGTTAGTAATCGGAACTATTCGAAGCGAAACAGCGAACGGATCACCTGAAGCGAAGCGGAAGAAGCGAATTGAGATTTTTAAAGTATTTGTGAAGCCTTTCAAGTGTTCTAAGTGTTTAATACAGTGTTAACTTGTACTCCGGTAGAATTTTTATTTATCCCGAACCTTAGCGCGTAACAGAATGTGTCGATAGCTTATATTTTTATTTAATGCATTAATGTGAATATTGCAGCCCAGATTGAGAGCAGGTAGGTAGTAGGATGGTAGGCCTCAACTATAACACTTTCATTGTTGATGTCGATTGGCATCAATAAACTCACCATCCGATGGACTGTATATGCGTCTGCCCTCTAAGGCATTGAAAAACAAGAAAAAAACCTGAAGTCAAAGCCTTCAGAATGGCTCAAACAAGCAGCAAAGATCAAACCAGCCTTCACTCACAACACGCCATACGTAACTAAGTATTTCTCATTATAGCCACGTTTAAAAAAACAAAATGTGTGCAATTCACACGTGGTAGAAGTGAAACCTTCCAAAATTAAAATACAATTATCCTAAACGTCTTAAGTATATGTAAAATTTTGTCATTAGTAAATAATTGTAAGGTAGCGCCCTCTGTGAATTGATATTTTAATTTCACGTATAATCCTAAATTAACAAATACACACGTTAGTATTAAAAAATCTCACAGATGGCGCTGTATTAAATAGTATGTATATTTCTGTGTCATTCTTTGCTGGCTTCATCCTACACATTTTTGTATTTGTGTCTCTTACCTGTCGTTTTTTCCGTTGCATCCGGTTTGAAATCACAACGATACTAAAGAAGTTTTCAATTCAAAAAAAATCATATTGATACCTTCTATTTTATGTAGCAAATTCTTGTTAGAAGCTTCTAACTTTCTTGTGCTGATTTTAGCGGCCAATTCCTCAGCAGCCGTCGTCTCCATCTGACGCACCATCAACTCTTTAAACTGTTCCATCGCAAGAAGAAATTCCAGACCCGGCTGAGGCGGCGCTGCCTGCAAAATAATATATTAAAAACATAATAAAAACATTATGTTTTCACAATATCTTGTGTCTAAAATTTGTTAGTAATTAACAAAGGTCACAAATTACCAGGGCGTAATCAAAAAACTGACGTATTAAAGTATCATCGGAAGGTACGTCTAACCTGACGCGGAGTAGTCACGTTTTCTGGTCTTGAAGGCTTGGTTACAGCTACACGATACAAGTGAGAATTTGACCACACATCTCAATTTGGGTGGTGACACTTGTAATATTGATGTCTAAGTGCTCCGTCAGCCAAGTAGTCTGCGTGGTGTTAAATTCACTCGTCTAAGCATTAAAGATCAAAAAGCACCATTATGTTATTTTTAATACAAACCTCATCGCCAACGCAAGATGCCTTCATCTGAAAAAATGCAATTGACATATTAGGTATAGCAAATAGTTTATTTTTCTCCCTATCCTAGTAATCTCGAAGGGTTTATTATATTCACAGAACGATTAAGTGAGCTCACGGGGCTCTAACCTGATGACGTTGCTAACACTAGCTAGGGCTAGTGCAGTGCTTCGTAGAATCTACCACCGGATCGGAAGCCCAACCCACTGAGAAGATCCGGCGAGAAACTCAGTGGGTTGTGTCTATGAGTTAATTTACTCGCCGAGCCCTTCGTCACAAGTGACGGGTTCGACGTGAACGATGACCGGTGCTTAAGGTACCTAAAAGCAACGTTAGTGGATCGGGAGGAGCCGAAATAAATTATTTAGGGCGATATCGACTGTTTACCATACGGTCCGCGGGATCGGTATGTAGGTAGTTACGGACGGCCACAACAAGAGGGCTTGCGTGTCGTACCGCTTTCTCGAAATGGCGCACTGATGCCGACTGTAAATACTAATATTCTTTTAGCATGTCCTAAAAACACCCATAATTTTAACTCAGTGGCCGGACCAGGTTTGCTTAGGAAGTATCTCCAACAGTGTTTGTAATTGAATTGCGATTCCCGTTTGTCCGTCTATTGGTTTTAATTGTATATTTTTCAACGAATCTGCTTTCACAAAGATATGGGTGAGAGGAAAATGTCTTAAGTTTTGATATAATATTTTCATAGTTTAAATGAAAAACTGTGTTTGCAGCTCACTACTTCGGATGTAGGTACTTACATGATCTTTGGAAGAAACTTAATTTGAGGGATGGAAGCAAGGATATAACAGGCTAACCTCCTCGATCATTTCCTCGACTTTAGGTGCTAAAGCAGGATAGCTGTTCATTATGTAGATTAGATGCCCTAATTCCGGATTCAAACGATTTTTTAATGACACATCACCCTGCAAACACAAAAAGAAAACACTATACTTATGAAGGTATTATCTGAAAGCGAGTTAAAAAATTTAGACAGTAAAAAAGGCTGACTTTATTTTTTAAAGTTGACTCAACCAACCAAACAAACAGACACTTAATAAAGATTTGGGACGTCTTGGTGTTTTGATTTGTACTCGATGGCTCGTAAATCGGTCGTACGATCGGTGTAATGTACAAAGTGTTGTTTTAATACAATGTTACCAAAATATGTTTGAATTACCTAATGACTGATGGTAGGACCTCTTGTGAGTCCGCACGGGTAGGTACCACCACCACGCTCATTTCTGCCGTGAAGCAGTAATGCGTTTCGGTCTGAAGGGTGGGGTAGTCGTTGTAACTATACTGAGACCTTAGAACTTATATCTCAAGGTGGGTGGCGCATTTACGTTGTAGATGTCTATGATTTCCAGTAACCACTTTACACCAGATGGGCTGTGTGAGCTCGTCCACACATCTAAGAAAAAAAAAATGCAATATACCCGTCCATAACATAATTTTATTAAATACTGGCTGACCCAGCAGACTTCGTAGTGCGTCAATCGATAAATAAAATACCTAAACTTTTGTATAAAATAAACTTAAAACAAACAAAAGGAATCCGTCCGACGGGGGACACATCAAAGGGAAAACAAAATTGTTATTTTTATTTCATTCCGAGCATTTTTATATTTATCTCCCTTTTAAACCTTCTCTGGACTTCCACAAATAAATCAAGAACAAAATTAGCCTAATCGGTTCAGCCGTTCTCAAGTTTTAGCGAGACAAACGAACAGCAATTCATTTTTATATATATAGATTAACTTACCGCTTTTAAATCTTCCATGACAGTAACATTCATGAGACTGTCCGAAAACAATGGGTTATCATCATATTGCTCGAATATGAAAATCAGATCGTCCATGTGCTGATCGGACAGAACAGAACTCAACGTCTTGTATTCTTGGACGAAATGGGGTAAGCAAAGAGACATCTTTATTTTGTATATCGCTTCGTCCAAAATCTTCGTGATGCGTTCCGTTTGAATATGACATTCTAGATCGATGGGAGAAGCAGCTGTGAAAGCCAATGTCATTACATTTTTATCAACGGGGAAAGGTTATGTGGCTTAAACGACATTTCGCTTGATACGCGACATTTATCTTTATAATTAGAGGTAAGCTTTATTTGCTATTAGCATCAACAGTTCGATGTTTTTAATTGAGCTTCAATTAAGCTTACTTCATTCAAATAGCTGAAGATTTTTTTTTGTAATGATATTTTTTTCAATTTTTAAACGTTAAATGGCTCTTTTGTGAAGTTGCAAAAAAGTTCGCTTAAACCACATAACCTTTCACCCTTCGATAATATTTCACATGTATTTATTATGTGCATTAAATGGGGTTTAAAAGTGATTTAATATTACCACCATTGTAAGTCATCGGCTATCATTGAAAGGTTGGTTGGTACCTTCGGCCGATGTAAATTTAATTCCACATCAACTTATTTTGTTCAGTTCTAACTACCTTACGTTGTACACAGCTGCGACCCATTAAGTGTCTCGCCGTATCTTTTCAGGTAGTTCGCGATTCTTATCCTGTAGTAGATTCAGCAAAGCACTGCTCTTGCTAGGGCCAGTGTTAGCAATTCTCTCAGGGTGAGCCCGTTAGCTCACCTACCAGTCCGGGCGAATTTGGAACAGACCCTTAGGTTACCGATTGTTAAGTACGAAAAAAACACAACTGCTTACAATTATCTTTTGTAAGATCTATCTCCTTCTCGTTAATATCTGCTACTCCGGATCGACTGCTGCCAGTCTTCGAACTTTCGGAAAAAATGGAAGGTGACTGAAGAGTACCAGACGACTGGGTATCCATTATTGTCAGATATGTCTTATCCTATTTAAATATATAACACTATCCACAGTACAAAAATTGTTTTCCAATAATGTATACACTAGTCGTAGTGATTTTCTTAGATCGGATAGGATTTATTCAGAGTAAATAAACGTTACGTTACAGATTTATTCCATAATTATTCTCATCCAATCTTATTACAGCTTTTGACGTAGCCGTTGCTATGATAACGTAAACATAGATAATATCATAAAAACGGCTCAACCTTGATACTCTTATCTTTTTGGTATTTGAAAAGCGAAGTTTGAGTGATAGATACGATAGATAGAAGTCGCCTCCTATAGGGGTCGAAGCCGGGTGAAAGCCCTTCTCCGGCCCCCGACTCGGAGAGGGATGAGCTCTCTCGTTTCGCTACTGGTGGTAGGACCTCTTGTGAGTCTGCACGGGTAGGTACCACCACCCTGCCTATTTCTGCCGTGAAGCAGTAATGCGTTTCGGTTTGAAGGGTGTTGTAGCCGTTGTAACTAAACTGAGACCTTAGAACTTATATCTCAAGGCGGGTGGCGCATTTACGTTGTAGATGTCTATGGGCTCCAGTATCCACTTAACACCAGGTGGACTGTAAGCTCGTCCACCCATTTAAGCTTTAAAAAAAAAGAAGCTTCTGCGAGATTGTGAGCTCGCACAAGTCAAGCATCGCCCTCGAAGACTCATCACTGCCGAGCATCGTAGCCACGACGGTCGGCAGCGACAGATCCGGTCCTATTTGCTAGACGAGGACACGTCGCTGCCCCAGCCATAACTGGCAATGTACTATGCGAAACTATTTACATACTATATTTAAATAAAAAATTTAGATATCAGACACACAAAGAAAATCTGTTCATCACACGAATGTTTCCCCGAAGTGGGAATCGATCCCACGACCTTAGGCCAAGCAGTCAGTGGCGCTAAATATTGCGCCATGACATCAGTCAGACTTCCCCACGCATACTGTTGCCTCGATACAAAACCATTTGATCGATAGTTCTCTCTGTGGACACAAACCAAATATATAATAAAAAACTTGGACGGTGTTGTTGTTAATATAAATTGTTTTTAAGGTATTAAGTTTATTACCGCTATATTATCGTGCTTTTTGAACTTTAATAATGAGGAAAACCGTATAACAGTAAGCATTAACTAAATGTTTCCGAAGCGGTCATTATTTTTCTGCCAACTTTTAAAAACCGTGATGAAAAAAAATGTTTTCTTTCCAAAGATCGTTTCAAAACTACAGATTAAGAATGTTGTAAAACTTATCTGTCCTTTCATTGTACTGTTTATTTTATTTTAACCATTCTTAAATACGCCACATGCAATTATTGAACAAATTTTCTAATCAACTATACCAATAGGCAAGAGCAAAACGAATCTATCAAAATGCCCAAAAAAAGCAAAGTAAATAAATTGGCGAGAATGTCGGACGAGGAACGCGCGAGGTACCTCCAGCACCGAGCGGATTTGGAGGAAGAAACTCGTCGGAGGAAGAGAGAGCTCGTCACCAGATTCATTAAGGTTAGACTGCAGTTTATTTCCTAAGTGCCTAAATAAGCCAAGAAAAATTAAAGTTGCAAACGCTAAGGTGAAATGAGCGCCTACCGCCAAATTACTTTTATACATACTACCTAAGTGATTACTTTAAGCTGTGGGCTCTCATGAAACTACAAATCTTTATCTATGAACATATTTCTGATGAAATCGAGTCGGTAATAAACCTTGAAGATGTGATAAGGAGCTCTTGCTTTTCTACAAATATGTACAATAATCGAGTTATACATTATTTATTCATTTAGAAAAATTTTTTTGAATTTTTTTATTTTTTTTTATTGCTCTTATTGCTGGATGAGCTCACAGCCCACCTGGCGTTAAGTGGTTACTGGAGCCCATACATCTACAAAGTAAATGCGCCACCCACCTTGAGACACAAGTTCTAAGGTCTCGGCATAGTTACAACGGCCACCCTTCAAACCGAAATGCATTACTGCTTCAGAGCAGAAATAGGCGGGGTGGTGGTACTTACCCGTGCGGACTCACAAGAGGTCCTACCACCATTTTTGTTGTTTCAGAACAAATTAGACAAAGAAGAGACTTACGCACGGATGAATACCGCGAAGATAAATCAAGAATGGCGTTACATATTGCGTAGAATCAAATGTAAACAGATGGCCTTAGATATACAGGTAACTGAAAATATATACCTAATCTATCGTCCATCCAACTACTTAAGCAATAAAGAAGGACTTTTTGGCGGGAACGCAAGGAGTGAAGTTGTGTGATTTGTTTTATTTTGTCAATTTAGTGTTTCTTCAGGTTTAAACGTGTAATAACGGTGTTTTATTAACTGTTTAATATCTGTGAAAGTGCATAAATGTGGGAAAACGAAACAAAGCCGCTGGACGTAAGTTCTCGGGTTCCTCCAAAACGTCCACTGAAAAAATCTCAGTAAATGGCCACCATTTTACTGAGATTATATTTCATCACATATCATCTCATTTCATTTAATTTCATCCCAGTTGATAATTGTTTCAAATGAATCATCTTCATTTCATTTTATTTCACTCCATATTATCATTTTTGATAAAAATAAGAATATAAATTAAAATAAGACATGACTTAAAGGTCTTAGTTACCAGGTCATAAAATCCCATAAAAAAAGCAATAAAGAAATCCATAATTCTAAATATCTCGTTTTAGGGTATGATGATGAGTTTCAACTTCATGGTCGAGAGAAAGGATCGTCTTTTAAAGGCTCTGGTGAAGAGTCTTGATGACTCCGACGAACAACACCGTCGTGCTTTCCAAGCGCACACGGAGAACGTTAGCTATTTTCTTAGTAAGTATAGGTTGTTTCTGAGGCGAAGCAGTTACGCAATCTGCTCTGAAGACCTACCTTCCCCTATACCATCTATCTATGAGACTTAGACCTCATGTCTCAAAGTGAGCGGCGGTGTGTACTATCAATCACGATTCTGCAGGATAGCCGTCGGAGCGCCTTGGTTCCTTAGGAACGTGGATCTCCACGATGACCTGGAGCTCGACTCATTTAGTAAGTATCTACAGTCGGCATCGCTGTGCCATTTTGAGAAGGCGGCACGACATGAGAACCCTCTCATCGTAGCCGCTGGAAATTACATACCTGACCCAGTAGACCGAATGGTAAACCGTCGACGTCGCCCAAAGCACGTCAATACGGATCCTCCTGATCCATTAACGGTGCTTTTAGGCACCACAATCACCGGTCACCGTCCTCGTCGAACCCGTCGCTTGCGACGAAGGGCTCGACGAGCGAACTAACCCATAGACACAGCCCACTGAGTTTCTCGCCGGATCTTCTCAGTGGGTCGCGTTTCCGATCCAGTGGTAGATTCTGCGAAGCATTGCTCTTGCTAGGGTCAGTGTTAGCAACTCTCCGGTTGAGCCCCGCGAGCTCACCTACAAACGTTAGGGTTACGCTGAAATAGCCTCTCAAGGCTATCAGCATAGGTAGGAAAAAAAAAAAAAAAAAAAGGTGTGTACTAGCAGGGCGCAATTGTAAAACCACCACTCTGGTTGTTTGCTGTTGGAAAGAACTCATCTCCATACTAGATTGCATCTCTGCATGTGTCTAATCTCATAATACCAATCGTCTTTTTTTTATTGCTTAAATGGGTGGACGAGCTCACAGCCCACCTGGTGTTAAATTGTTACTGGAGACCACAGACATCTACAGCATAAATGCGCCACCCACCTTGAGATATAAGTTCTAAGTCTCGGTATAGTTATAACGGCTGCCCCGCCTTTCAAACCGAAACGCATTACTGCTTCACGGCAGAAATAGGCGGGGTGGTGGTACCTACCCGCGCGAACTCACAAGAGGTGCTACCATCAGTAATCGTCTCGGGTACACATGCTGAGTTTCTCGCCGGATCTCCTTAGTGGGACGCGATTCCGATCTGGTGGTATATTCAGCGAAGCATTGCTCTCGTTAGGGCAAATGTTAGAGAATCCTTCCAGGTTCGATCCCGTGAGCTCGCCATCAGACACAGCGAATTGTTTTCCAATAGCCTATCGAAGGTATTGGTGGATAGGTAGTCAAAAAAAACCTAGTGCCGTAGTTTCTATATATCCTTGAGTCGGCTTTCACGAGACCTACGGAAGGTATGGGGCGATGCTGTCCTTCTTCAAACGAGGCTTGCGGAGAGTACTCGATGATAGGCAGCGATTTGGCTGTACCCCTGGCATTGCCGGCGTACATAAGTGACAGTAACCACTTACCATCAGCTGGGCCGTGTGCTCGTCTGCCTAAATAGGCAATAAAAAATATAAAATAAAAAAATAGACAAGGCTAGCACTAGGTGCCAACGAACTCTTAACCTTATGTTTGTTTTGAGACCAGTCTTCAGTTTTATTTACCATTCTGACCATACATATGGAAAAATGCTATGTACATATTTAATTTTATTTATTTACTTTCTTAACTATTTTACTATGATTTCAAGGCATAGGAACTCAACGACTAGACAAATTGCAATCGGAATATGAGCATCAGAAGAATGATCTACTTGAAAATTGGGAAAGAGACGAATTTGACATCACCGACAACCAAGACAGGGCCGAGTACAAGCTGCTTCTCATAAATTATATCCAAGAGAGCAATTTTAATGCCTTTAAAAAACAGAAAGAAATCGAGAGGGCTACGGCGAAGAATGATGCAAGATTAGAGGTATACTTTTTTTTAAAATGAAACATCTATAGCAGCACGTAAAATGGATTGCTGTCATGGCAACGCATGCCGTGCCGAGGCGTCGTCGCCAAGCGCAATTTTTTTTCCCTACCTAAGCTGATGGTCTAGACTGTAGAGAGACCATTTCAACGTCGCCGGGCTAGTAGGTGAGCTCACGGGGTTCAAACCTGACGATGATGCTAACACGAAACCTAGCAAGAGCCGTGCATCGCAGAATCTACCACCGGATTGGACCCACAGAAGATCCGGCGAGAAACTCAGTGGGCTATATCTGTGGGTTAATTTACTCGCCGAGTCCTTCGTCGCAAGCGACGGGTTCGACGAGAACGATGACCGGTGCTTGGGGTACCTAAAAGCACCGTTAGTGGATCGGGAGGATCTGAGATGATCTTGTACCATGCGCAAGCGACTGTTTCTTAATATTAATACCTACCTATTTTATTTTTCATTATTCTTCGTGAATTTGTTTGTCGTAAACTACCTATACATGTACACTGAGTTTTTCGCCGGATCTTCTCAGTGGGTCGCGTTTTCGATCCGGTGGTAGATTCTGCGAAGCACTGCTATTGCTAAGGCTAGATCTAGCAACGTCGTCAGGTTAGAGCCCCGTGAGCTCACCTACTCGCTCGGTGTCGCTGGCGTAACCCTGTAAGGTAAGCTTAGGTAGGAAAAAAAACCTAAAAAGACTCTTTAGTAACCCCATTACTTTATAATAATACTATTAGGAAACACGAAGAAAAGCCACGCATCATGTATCATTTTAATTTTTACGAAATTCACAAAAAGCTTTTTTTCATCATTTTTTTCATCAAAAAATATAATAAGATTTTAAAGAAACCATTCTTGTAAAAACTATTCCATCAAAGTTGCAAATCGTCTTTCCAATCGTCACAATTTGCTCTTCCCTTCTCAGACAAGCACATCAGCAGATTCCTTGAGAATTCACATTTGTCGTCGGTGTTTTCTGAAACATCATCAAATCTATTAAATTTACTTTTTGTCAATGCTCGTAGTGTACGCAAGTGTACACAAAAGGTAACTAATTCAATGACGGCCTTGCCGAGTTGACCCCTCTCCTGATAGATTTACCTAACTCGCGGTGGTGTTGGAAGCCTCTAGTTCTAACACTAGCAAAATTCATGTGCTCGCCCATGCTTCGCTCTTAAACTGAAGATCCCTCCTAACACCAGCAATCAGACTTTAGGCCAAAAGAATTTGTAACCCTTCTCTGGGATCATAGGAGAATTACTGTTTGAATATTTTGTGTAATCTACTTTTGGATTGATGGCCACAAATGGCGTATTCCCGTTTTGTATTTTTTTCTACCTAATCGTTGGTAGCTAAGGGGCTATTCACACTACGCACGGATAGGACACGAAACTTTGTGCTGGAGAATTAATTACTAACTAAAGTGCCATCCTTAAGAGTTAAAATATCAAATCTAAAACATCCAAAATAGAAGTGCCAATCAAATTTTATTTTGGTTCGTTATCGAATTAAGACAACATGATTACTGTTTAAAATATAGCTTCCTTACCGTTATCCAAAATTTGAAAACATTCTTCGACGGATTCTTGCAAAAAATCTCTTAAATCCTCATTTTTTACCTCTTTAGTTAATGCATGATTCACCAAATATCTATCCGGCATTCCGTCTTCTCCATTCTGAAAATACACATTTTATCCAAACTATCATGTCCTTGTTTCTTAATGCTTAGCAAAAACTATATAATGGTATTTGTGATTAGGCCGTCTTCAATGGATACTCGAAAACAGTCCTGAGCGGTAAATCGGTTCATAACTTATCTCAAATGAATTATCAGTCTATCACACTGAATCACCTCATTACTTAGTGAAAACTTATTTAAATTGTATCACAAGAAAGCCGAACAGATTATTAAAAAGATAGTTATGTCGCCCAAGATAAAGAAAAAACTGTAGCTGGGTTGTTCGTATGAGATATACATTTGTTTACCATTTTCAAGTTCTCTAAGAAACAGTGCATTGCGCATTCCTTGCTGCCCATTTCATCGTTCGTTTTATTTTCATTAGAATCCTTTTCGTCATTGAAAGAATCGTCATCGTCAGATTTCTGACTGATGGGATTAAATTGGCTCCGATGTCCTGAGTTCTCAATGCGTCTTTCACGTTTGTACCTCCTCGGGGGTGTCGTAGAAGATTGATAGGAACCGTACGCTGACATTTCCTACAAACATGAAATTAACTTATATGTGTTTTCTTTCTTATCTTTATGAAATATATATAAAATAAAAATAGATATAAATATTTTAGGTATAATAAAGGTATTCAATGGACCAGTTCAACTAATTTACGAGTATTATTCGCAATTCACAGTACCTAACTACCTGAGCCACGCCTTGAGGGGCTATTCTGATTTCGCCGGACTGATAGGCGAGCTTTTGGGGGGCTCAGAAACGCTACGTAAAGCCACAAATAATGAAAGTTAGGAAAATGTGTACCACATTAGAAATTTGACAATTTTTTTCATTCTTTTTAATTTAACAGCCACCGTATTTACGAACCAAGATTTTCGTAATTCGTCTAGTTAAAGGACAATGTTAACTTACCCCAAATTTGTCTCCCATAAAATCATTACGAGCATTGAAATGATCTCCACTGCCTCTCTCAGGACGTTCGCCCATCATATCGTACCGATCACCCATTTTACCACTCATTCGTTCATTACCACTCATTCCATCATTGCCTCTCATTCTATCATTACTGCTCATTCTGTTTTCATTGTAACCCATTCTACCATCATTATTATTAATCTCGTCATTTCTGTTTCTCCTTCTGTCGTCGTTTCCAGACCGATCTCTTTCTTGGTCACGTCTTTGGTTATGATTGTTTCTCTGTGGCTTATTCCAAGCTTGGCTATTGCTTCGAGAACTGTTAGATGTCTTATCCTCTTGAATCTTCAAACACTTTGTATAAATTTTCTTAAGTTCAAATTCTTTCGGACCACCATCTGTGCGGCAATTCAGTGTCTGCGAATTTATCATTATATTATTCGCTAATACTAGTTAGTGATTCTTCTGCGTTATGGCTAGTTCATCTTTAAACTGTATTTCAGGAGTCTTAAGCGGTGGGGGCAGCTGCTTGGCTGTGTCTATAGCTTTGCTGATACGAACAAATCCCTTATGATCAACCTTGAACAAGACTGCCATTGGCAATGAAAAAATCTAAAGAAACTACTCACGTAACACTCCAGAGCCAGTAGGCAGAGGAACACAAAGTAATAATAAGAGTATCTAGCGAAACACATGATGTTTTTGCTGTAGCCTCCTCAATGAGAGCTGTTATGACGTAGTTCCAGAATATATAATAGTCGCCATGCTTGAATAATGGCTTCACAAAGGGCTAAAAATTTGACATGTCACCCAAACAATACGAGCATGCGTGTTGTATTGTCGCTCTACCACGACAAAAGGGTGCGACTTATTTAAATTTTCACACTTAACATTATTTTTTTATTCTGTGATCACTCTTTATTGAAAATGTTGCAACTTGTTGGAAGTCATTTTCTTGATAAACCCTGATGGATTAACCCTGATGGACCTGCACAATTTTACAACTCAAACAAGAATATTAAAAAAAACCATTAGAAGAACATTGACTTTCATTCAACCGGCATACAATCAGATAACCTAACACTCTTATTTTGCATTTTACTGTTCAGAAGCAGCGTAATATTTTCCCCCGGTCACCGTCCTCGTCGAACCCGTCGCTTGCGACGGAGGGCTCGACGAGTGAATTAACCCATAGACACAGACCACTGCCTTTCTCGCCGGATCTTCTCAGTGGGTCGCATTACTGATCCGGTGGTAGATTCTACGAAGCACTACTCTTGCTAGGATAAGTGGTAGCAACACTCCCGGTTTAAGTCCCGTGAGCTCACCTACACGTCAAGGAGAAGCTGAAATAGCCTCTCAAAGTAATTAGCATATGTAGGTTAAAAAAAAAGCGTAATACTTTTCAAGTCCATTTATAAATAAAGTATTGTTTTCTCGTAGTTGTTGTTTATTGTTTGTTTGTAGCAATTTACATAATAGCAGTCCGGCTTTTTTCCAATAGTCAATGACGAAACAAAAGAAAGAATGTGATGTAATTTTCAATATAAAATTTATGAAAATCGTAAGGAGCCGTTGATGAAGATCGAATTTCGATCGTTTTATGAACTTTAGTATGTACTTAGGAATGTGCACACATGGGTGAACGAAAATTACGTCTATTTTCTAATATCACTTTATTTCTTAAAACTTAAAATTGCTCATCAAGTGCATTAGTTTCTCGGTAATTTAATGAACTGTTTACTACAATTTTACTGAATCGTAAAACTGTAACGAAGCAAGGCACATCACATAGTACACGTTATGCTTGTCACGCTAATGGCTCCCGTTGATCTAATTGAAATGCGGTTGTCTAATTTAACCAATGCGAAATACATAAAATTTATGACTGTTGTTTTGTAACAGATTAGAGGCGTTCCAACGTTAAGTTCCCTAACAAGTATAAGTAACCATGAAATCTTTTATCATTATTTAATTAATCTTATGTAATATGTACAATAATTAAAACATTAAATTTTACATTAACTCTACAAAAGGATGATAATAAATCTACAAAATATAATTGAGTTTTGTAAATATTAAATTCAGTATGAGATCGATTTTTTAAATGTTACAATTAAAATGTGGTTATATAATATTTTAAAGCACCTAATTGTAAATTGGGTAAAAGTTTCAGCGTTATCTATCAATTTATTATTTGGACGAATAAAATTTCTTACAACCCTGTACAATTGTAACATTCTATACTTAATTACAGGAAGGGCTGTCACAGCATATTGCAATGTTTCGCCTCTGATAAACTTGTTACAGAGATTTGATGGGCATTTCCTGTGTATACGTATTGTTACAACCTAAAAATAAATTTATAGGATACGTACCTGAATGGCAAAACTGATTTCGTAAATTAATATTTGACCAAATTAATGATTTAATTTGGTTTTATTTTGGCATTCCCGCCGAACTTTGTAGGTTTTCAGAAAATAAATATATTATTTTGCTTTTTTCAATTTTCGGATTGTTTATGAACACATAAATAATGTATAAATGTTAGCTTAATCTTTTCTGATTTGGATATGAACTACTGTTTAAATATTACTATATTAAGTAGGTACCTACTAAGGACAAAGGTAATATTCAAATCGGCTGAGTTTGTTTCACAGATTCTTTCGAAAAATTTGGTTGTTCTCTTAAAATCAACAGCAACTTATTTTCCCTTTTAATACGCATTTTAAATTAGATCCAAGATAAAATAAATGAGATTGAATTTAACGGGTTTACGTTTATTTTTTTACTGCCCTTATAGACAGATGAATTTAAGCCCCACCTGATGGTAAGCAGTCACCGTCGCTAATGTACGTTAGCAATGGCAAGGGCACAGCCAAGACGCTGCCTACTGAGTATACATTCGTCCCTGAATCCTGATCACGCAGGAGCCACCGACACCCTAGACATGCCCTTACGGATCCATCAGATCCAATAACCGTTGCATTAAACGCCATTAGCTCTAACACTAGGAGCAGGCTCATGTACTCCGGTTACTGTACTCGTCGAACTTCAACAAAGAGGTCGACGTGCAACCTAACCTATACATCAGCGCGCTGAGTTTCTCGTCGAATCTTCACAGCGGGTCGCAATTCCAATCCGGTAGTAGATTCATTCGCGAAGCAGCTGCTTTTGAGTTGTTAGGTCTCCTTTGGAGGCGCTCCGGCAGCTGTAAGCAAATCCCACCCCTCCTGGCTGAGCCTTTGCTCGCCCACCTGTCGTGGTGAATCTGGAAAGGCCTCCAGGACACCAGTAATCCCTCAAACATAAAAAAAATATACATTCACCTTTCATAATCAATTTTCTTTTCAGCATGAGGATGAGATGCGTACTCTTTGCAAACCTAAAAAGCTGGAAATTGAAACATACTGGTCTAAGCTACGGGAAGTTTACACTTCATATTTGGAACAACACAATCCGATAATGGCCCATTATCAGGCTTTGAGGGAAAAAGATGAATTTTACCAAAGGGACATAGCACGAAACGATCTTCGCATACGCCGCGAAACCGTATTAAAATCTGTTTTTACACGCTTTATATTAGCTTCACTTGTATGTATGTTTGTATGTTTGTAACTGACTCCTTTAGACGCGATTTTGACCCACTTTAACCGCCAGATTTCATTCAAACTTTGTAGATTTGTCGAGGACCGGTGACAATTCAATAATAATAAAAATTGAAAAAATTGAAATTCAACTAAAAAATGAAAAATAGTTTAAAAAAACAAAAAATGGTGGATGCATGGTGTTATTAATTATAAATATTTTTCTGACAGATATGAGTAGAAGAATTATTATGTCAATAATATCTTAAAAAGCACGCCACGGTTTTTTTACAATAAAAAATTTCTTTTACACTATTTTCAATTTAAATTTATTAAAATTTATTTTCTATTTTTTAGTTGAATTTTAAATAAAGCGTGTTTTTTTAAACAATTTTTTTTTTCTTCTAATATCTGACATTTTTTTTCATATGGACTGCATAAATCTATACTAATATTACAAAGCTGAAGAGTTTGTTTGTTTGTTTGAGCGCGCTAATATCAGTAACTACTGGTCCGATTTGAATAATTATTTCAGTATTAGATAACCTATTTATTGAGGAAGACTATAGGCTATATAACATCACGGTAAGACCTACACAAGTGGAGCACCAATAATGTTTAAGAATAGGGATTTAAATAGCTCCTTAACATTCTATAATTCAAAAATATTTTCACTTTCTACGTAAATGAAGTGGGGGGTAAAATTTAGCGTTATGCCAAAGTAACTATTCCACAAGGACGGATTCGCGGGCAAAAGCTAGTCTATAAAATTTGTTTATATGTCTCTTGCACTGCATGCAATGTAATACCAATGTAAGGTCAGTTGACGCACGTTTCAACCGCTTCTTTGCTTTAGATAGCGGGCTTATTAATGAGTTACTTGCTAAAACCTATTGAGTTATGTGAAGACAGCGTTTGTAGGCAGCGGCTATGCCCCTGGCATTGCTGAAGTCCATAGGCGACGGTAACCACTCACCATCAGGTGAGCCGTATGCTTGTCTGCCTACAAGAGCAATAAAAAATAAAAAAAGACAGCCAAAATGGGTTGTCTATAATGAAATAGGCAAAGACAAAGCTGAAACTGCCATTTAGCCTACGCCGTTTTTTTTTTGTTTATACTCATACATTTTAGGAGAATCTCGTCATGTTGCAAAGTGCATGGTTAAAAACAACAGGCATGATGAAAAACAAATTAATTCGAATGTGGAACAAGAAAGAAGAATTAGCAAAAAAGTATTGGCAAATGAAGAGAGATAACAAATCGGAACTAACTAAGGATGACCAGAAGTTAACCGTGATGGTTAACTCTAGCCAGGATGCCATTAAGGTACATTTTGGTTACGGAAACGGTTAGAAAATTGTTGCCATAAACCTTTGCTATTAAATATCATGGTAAAAAAAAAAAAGTAACAGATGCAACCTTATTTTATTTTTCGACGATTTGTTTAATGTTAAATATGTAATTGGTAATAATTATTATTTATTGTCATTATTATTAGCGAGTCCAACACTCATATAAATATTAGCCTATCCAATACGTGTATTTTCTACATGGATACCAAGTTTTAAATCAATCGGATGCATGGTCCAGTAGTTATAACGGAACATCCGTAAAAACCACTGTAGATTTTTAAATTAGTATAGATGGACACACTATGTACACAAGATAGAAATGCTTAAAATATTCTTGGATAGTTAAAAACTTTAGTTCTGACGTGGATCGTCGCTTGATGCGTTGGTTTTTTCTGGGATGGAGATATTCTGAATGATTCGAACGAAGGTACTGTGTAGGTATGTATCCCATAAACCGATTTATTAGATTAAGTGCGCTGTAGCATGATGCGGGTGACAGTTTCGGTAACATATCGTTTCACTCTTGAAAGTTGCCGCGATTTACAAATTATAGATGTAAATGACAAAAACGGCATTTAAAAAAGTGAATTAAAGTATACCACTACCTTTTTTTTTTTCGGGCCGTGGGCCGATCCTCCTACGAGGTCCACGCGCCTAGGGTGTGGCGGGGTATGTGGGACTTGACGATCTGCAGGTGTTGGGAGCAGACCGCGGGCCCCTCAAATATATTGAATGTATAATCTATGGCGGACCCTACCGCACTAAACGACTCCCCTACACTCTATTTCAACTCATTAGTGCAAGTAATACCTCATGAGAATAATAATTGATTATTCTCATACTTGATAATAATTGATTATTCTCATACGAGTTGAAGTAGGTACTGTTTTATAGTTCATAAACCATAATTATATTCGATCGAATGTAAACTTTCAGCGGCTGGAAGAAGCGAAACAAAAAATATATAAAGTAATTCAGTTGGCTGATATTTGTCGTAAATACGAAAACGTCGGCGATAATATTGTTTTTTATGACTCCGAGAATGATGTGGATTCGCTTGACTATGAACATTTGAATAGAGCAATGATTGTAAGTATCAGTAAGGCTCAAAGGGGGGTTTCCATTAAAGACATTTTTTTGGCATCACCTCTTTAAAGGTATCCTGTTTTGAAAATTTAGATATTTACTGGTATTTTTAAAACTTATTCACGTAGAATATACCATTCAACATACATTTTTCATTTTAAATCGCCCGATGTAAAAACAAATTACTTCATACGTCACTATTACGGTGTTTTCTTTTTTTGAATTTATATAATACTAGCGACCCGCCCTCGCTTCGCTTCGGAAACATTAAAACACACATGAAACCAAAAAATAAAATAAAAATAAAATAAAAAAAGTAGCCTATGTTCATCAGGGACAATGTCGGCTTCTAATGGAAAAATAATTTTTCAAATCGGTCCAGTAGTTTCGGAGCCTATTCGAAACAAACAAACAAACAAATCTTTCCTCTTTATAATATTAGTATAGATATAGATATAGATAATAAGGACTTAAAGGACTTATATAAGGACTAAAATAGGTACGAATAAAATTCGTTTCTTTTAAATTTACTCTGAAAAGATCTTTTTTTTATTGCTTAGATGGATGGACGAGCTCACAGCCTACCTGGTGTTAAGTGGTTACTGGAGCCCATAGACATCCACAACGTAAATGCACCACCCACCTCGAGATATAAGTTCTAAGGTCTCAGTATAGTTACAACGGCTACCCCACCCTTCGAACCGAAACGCATTACTGCTTCACGGCGGAAATAGGCGGGGTGGTGGTACTTACCCGTGCGGACTCACAAGAGGTCCTACCACCAGTGATTACGCAAATTACAATTTTGCGGGTTTGGTTTTTATTACACGATGTTATTCCTTCGCCGTGGAAGTCAATCGTAAACATTTGTTGAGTACGTATTTCATTAGAAAAATTGGTACCCGCCTGCGGGATTCGAACACCGGTGCATCGCTACATACGAATGCACCGGACGTCTTATCTTTTAGGCCACGACGACTACATTTACACACATTCACACAATTACTAGTCGATATAAACATTTAACTACTGTATACTGAAAATTTATAGGACGAATGCAAAGAATACGATAAAATGGATAAGTTTTTGCTGAAATTAAACAGAGCAAAGGTACAGACAATGTGCTTGAAAACTGAGAAAGCAAAGTTATCGAAAGAGAACATCCAACTTAAACATTACATTAAGAAGTATCTCACTGAATTGGCACTTAGAGAAAAAGACAGACCACACAGTGTCAAGATAGCCTCTGGTGTTCAGAAGCTGGATGCGAATGGAAAGACACTGTAAGTACACATCTAGATGTGGTTGAAAATATATTACAATTTTAAATTACTTCAATTTTATTTATTCATCTCCTTTAACTGTGACACCGGTCTAGAATTGCCTCATTCCATATCTTCCCATTGATGTCATAACAAGTGATTAAAGTATTCACCCGCGACTGCACAGCAGCCTTCTTTAAGTATGATACCAGTATACTGCTATCGTATTTGGAAATAGTTTGACGTATTGTAACACCCACAGGTAGATTCCACCATCCTATATCAGCCATTAAGCATACCAGTTTGTAGGGTTGTGTACACAATTTTTACAATGCCATAAATTGTGCTGTTGTTTTGTCATATGATAAAAATACTTCTAATCAACTTTGATTTGTGATCCTAAACACCAAAATACTATAACTTAAAAAATATGTGGGTTACATCCATTTGAAGTAATAACTTGTGCTCCATTTATCACAATTATTAATCAATGGTACTCTGCGAATGCTACCACTTTCTCCTCAAAGTGCACATGCATTTTTATGTAATGTAAACCAATGAGTCTTCAACCTTGTTTCAAATCCAAATTCGATCAACAGTAACCGTCCAGTAACCTGTATAGAAGGTGCTCTGTGTAATGCTGTGATGCATGAAAAAAGAATGAAAACTTATATGAAGAAAAATAAGGAAGCCAGCATCCAAGCATACCCAAGAATTCAATGTTGGATGCAGCCATCTTAGTTTAAATGTTTTGGAAGCAACATGTAACTATTGCTCCATCACTTTTAATTGTTTGCAGTTAAGTAAAATAAAAGATAAAAAGTAATATGAGGATTGTTTGTTACTATTTAAGTCAAAAGTTAGTGAAGTATGTCCTTCAGTTTCTATATCCGTTCTTCTTGTTTCTTCTGAACTAAGTAGAACTAAATAAAAAACTGGAATGGAACATTTTATATGAATTAATTTCAATAAAATAAATGTCAACCTTTATTTTATTAGTTTTCTTTTTAACTCATTCAGTAAAAAACCTTATTTAATAAATGGTGGTATTATCTTTGGTGGAATAAATTCATTAAACCTGGGTAATGTAAGGGGACTAATGCTTATAGACATTAACAATCTTGTGGGTTTCACTAAAACTTACTGCTATAGACTCCTCGGAAAATTCATATCTTCGTCATTAAGCTATCTTGTAATGCACTTAAGTCATATAATTTAAAAAGCTTATTCAAATTAGAATTTTTCGGTCTGTATTAATATAGTTGCGAATTGTTTAAACCACAAATTTGGAACTTTTGTACTTATCAAAGTAAGAACGAAAATATTTTAACTGAAAACTTAATTTATTTTTCAAATTGTTATCAGACACAGTACAAATGAAAATTTACAAATATATGTAGGGTTCATTTTTAATAGTTATACATCACAGTTTAAAATGAAAATCTCAGTACTCTAATTCACTATGGCTATTCTCTCCAAGATTCCAAGGATCATCTAAGGCCGCTAATAACTTGGCCAAAGCTTTGTGCCCATCAATATCAATGTTTGCTGTAATGTTGTCCGGCAGAGAAACATAATCTTCGCACAGTACAGTTTTACCTTGTGACACGCCGATTATTTCATACCATCCTTCAAGTGGCTCATCTAAAGGTTTCCTCAAACGTATCAATACTTCTTGATCGTCTACGGTTTTCACATAAAATCCTTCACTAGCTGAAACTCTAGTAACTTTTCCCCAAAGTGTTACTTTAGCGCCATTTTTTGAAGCAAGATTACCGGCCGTTACGTATGGAATGAATTCGTCGTTATTGGGAAATTGGTTGTCTTCAAATTCGTCGTGATCACCCATTTTTTAATTAGCACTTTACTGTTGTAAATTGTATTAAATAAATTTCACACAATATTACGAAAATATTTTTTGAAGTTTTTTCAAAGTTTTTTATATAGTTTTTCACTTGTCTACTGACAAAAAGAGTTTGCAATCATACAGCCAAACATTTTTTGTTAAAATAATAAACATGAAAATTTAAATTCACATTAACTCAAAGGAAGGCTTCGTGATGATACACAAAACAGATTTGTATTTATAAAAAGATCGACTATCTCCTCGAAACTAGTGAATCGAATCTGAAAGAGAGAGAGAGAGAATACACTTTATTGCACACCAAAACACAATTTACATTCAAAAAACAATCACGTAACATTTGTACAATATGCGCTCTTATCGCTAAAAGCGATCTCTTCCAGACAACCGTTCAATTTACAGAATTTCTGGAAAATATAAAAATATAACAGGTATGTTGCGGTGTACTATAGATAATGCATTATTATAGAAAATATATACATACAATAAATAAAATATATACCGTTTACATGTAATATGAAATATATACCAATATACATACTTACATACAATACATACTAATATACTTTCTTAAAGAAAAAAAAAAGCGAAGTTTTATGCTGATAACCTCGAGGTGTTATACCAGATTCAGCGAATGTGTGGGCGAGCTCACGGGGTTCAGTTTGGCGGCTTCGCTAACACTAGCCCTAGCAAGAGCAGTGCTTATCAGAATCTACCACCGGATCGGAAACGTGACCCACTGAGAAGATCCGGCGAGAAACTCAGTGGGCTGTGTCTGTGGGTTAATTCGCTTATGCCCTTCGTCGCAAGCGACGAGGACGGTGACCGGTGCTTGGAGTACTCAATATGACCGATAGTGAATCGGGAGGATCCGAAGTGATGTGTTTTAGGCGACGGCGTCTGTTCACCGATTAGTCCGCAGGATCGCGTATGCAGTAGTAGTCGAACTTACCGTCTCTTATATTCGAGACTCCCAGTTTTCGTAAATTGTTTCTTCGCAAGTAATACATAAGTACTCTACGTCCGTTCATGAAATAAGCACATGCGTATTCGCTCACGGGGATCGCACTTTTTTTTTGTTTCAGTAAAAAATCAATCATAAAATAAATCAGTTTCACCTTTTTAACTCGGTACACAAAAAAATTGTGAATAGATTTTTCACATTAATTCCCATTGATTAAAACCTGAGGTTTTCCGGAAAATCTTATCCATAATTTACATCTCAAGTTTAGTTCTCGCCATCATTTTTATTTAAAGCGCAAAGGGAACAAACTGATATAAGCAATTTTTCAGCTAAATATTACTGTTTTACGACAGTTGCTATTAACAAGAATAAAAGATCTAAGATCAAATATATTATGTGCTTAATCTATGTCTAAGAGTTTAAATCATGTCTCGAACCTATCGATTTTTGGGTATTTCTACCGAGATGGGCTCTGTTCTACCGAAATATAACGATTTTTCTACGATTTCAGAGTATACATGGAAATCCTACTGATTTTACAATTTTATGTTGGTAGGCCTTTTCATTTATGTCTAATGTTACGGGGAATCCCTCAATATTAAGTATGGATGGACCTAGTGCAGAATGTTCCATATATTTTGGGGAATACCCCTGTGCCCTACAGCTCGATGTTATAAACTATAAAGGGCTCGGGAATTTACCTGTCTTAATCTATGTAAACAGGAATCCGGTTTAATTTTTTCATTAATTTTCTTATCTTTGAAGAGAGAGTAACTTTCCTAGAGTGCCAACAAAATAAGATTAATAGGTTCAAATGTCGTCTGACGAGGAGCCAACAAAAATATGTACAGTATTATAGAAAAGAATGGGAAAAAGAATTTCCAGGCTGGCTGCAAGATAGTCGGTTTGTTGTCTAATTTCATCTTTAATATTTTTTCACTTCCCCATTCATCCGCTAACGCTGAACGCATATTTTTACATATTAATCTTTTGAGAACAAAACAGCGAAATAGACTGTCTACTGAATCAATCACTGGTCTATTACATGCAAAACGACTTTAATACAGCTATTTGTTATGATTTTGAAATTAATTCGAAGTAGACTGCGGCTATGGTCAGAGAATATTGGTATAAAAAATAATTATACTTAAGTATGATTTTTATAAATTAGTCTGTAATTTTTGTGTTCAATAAATACACGAGTTTGATTGAATATTGTATTTTTTTGTCAAATACCAATTTTAGGTACAAATATGCCGATTTTAGCTTATCACGTTCGAGATCAGTGATTTCCTTATGTTTCCTACTATTTTCAATTGGTTTAAATTCATAAAAAATCTACTTCTCTAGATAATTGAAGTTCACTTTTCAGCTTAGCCGAAGTGGGTAAACAGGTCCACAGCCCGTCCTGTGATAATTAATTAAAAAAGAAAAAAATTATTAGTAATTATCGAAATTTATTATTTATACATGCTAATACACATATTATCCTTATTCTATTACACACCCATATAAAACGAAAGCATATATAAACAGCTAAATAGCTGTTTATTTTCTTTTTTATTTCTATTACAACATAAAGTGAAACACAATGAAAAATGCTTCTAGGTTAAATTTATGCGAACAAGTCTTCTCTGTCGGCGGCGATTGTTGGCGCTGCAGCATCTTCCATAGCAGCAAAGTTCATGAAATGCGCCGGTCTGTGAACCTCGTGGTAGAACTCGCGAGGGTTGCCGAGTTGCACACCGTACTTCATATTCGGGTCGTGACGGACGCCTGCGGTCAATCGGTAGAAATATATAAATAACCTTAATATTTTAATATTTAAAACAAAAATTCCGCACAATAGAACCAGAACTGCGATGCATCGCAATTATTTAAGTAAAATACTACTCACCCATAAAGTTATAATTCCAACTGCCCTGCGACGGCACCATGAAATAGCCCAGGAATCTATCTGAGAGCAACATCTGCACTCTCTCGTAATGACTTGGCAAGTAGCCTTTAGGATTATTTCCTCTATCAGTATTCCTCACGCCCCATTCGTATCCGCTTGGAGTAAGTTTGTACGCAGTTAGGGAACATGAGCCGGGCGTGAATGAGCAAGTTATGATAATCGTCTTCTCGCCATCCCATGATGAGTTATCGGACATGATTTTGGCATGTGTAGTGATATCCTGCAATTGAAAATATTGTTAATTATTCTATTAAACAAGCCAGATTATCCTCGTCTTGGGCGAATGAAACGAACGTGTATTTTTGTGAAACGAAAATTTAGTCTAGTTCCTAAAAGACAGTCTTCTATTAGTGAAACAATCAGTTCCTGAGACTGCTCCATACATAAGGAATAAAAATACATGCCCTGATCGAGTTTGACTCTTACAGAGTACTCAGTGCTCCTAATTCTCATTTAGAGAATTAAAAGACAAAAATGTATCAGCTATGGTGTCTTCGTTTTCCTACCTAATTTCCCCTTATTCTTGTTGAATTTCTGGTATACGCATTGATGTTATGAGGATTCAACCTCATTCAGTTTATGGTCATTAGTGGTATTAACATTATGGGCGTTTACACTCTGAACGTGAGCCATGACCAAGTGTTTTATCCTAGTGCCTGCCTATCTATGTTAATATTTATTTTCTTTATCTATAATTTATAAATGATAAAATATTGCAGGAGCAAGTTCTGTAGTAACTTTTTGGCGTACCTGAGGCGATAGCTGGGGCAACTCATTAGGTTGTGTGTGCATCCATCCAAGGGGTTGCAGGTGTGCTAGAGCGGGATGTTTTGGCAGGTGTTTCGGCAGATGTACTTGTTGATGTGTGCCCCACTGAGGAGGCAGTACCGCACAGTGCACTTCACGTACCATTGGATTATCACTTGGTGATGTACCATACAAATAACAGGCAATCTAAAAATAGTATGAACGATAAGTTAACTTGGTAACTAAATTATAATGTATTTGTAAATTGAATGTGAATTGGGTACTCAGATGTCTTGTATTTTTTGTTGCCATCATTTGTAGATAAGTAACATAGTCTCCTTGAAGGGGATCAGTGTCGTTAGTGGACACGTAACCATGTGATGGCTGTACATTCTTTAATAATGTTGATTTTAAAACAAATTATTGAAATGGGATATTCAACATATTTAGGGATAATCACAACAGTGTGGCCTGGTTTCACTGGTAGCTCATAAGGTAAAATTTATACGTTACCTGTGCCCTTAAATCGGAAATGGTTACGAATTTCTTAAGTAGGTTCTTCGGCAGAATGTAGGTGTATCCGCTTTCCTTGATGTCATCTGAACTCACGTAAATATGGTTTGTACGAAGATGTAAATTCGTGGCCGATATCGCACGGACGCGCCATTCAGTCTTAGAGCTGCGAAAAACCATCCAAATTAAAAAATAACCCATTAAATTAGTGGAAGATCATATAATCATAGCCTACAAAAGTATTGTGAAAGAAAGAATTCCTAAAAAGTCTCACCTAAACGTCTGCGACTCATAATTGCTCGTCGTTGAGGTTATAATTTCGTCTCCATGTTTGTTTACAGTACGAGTTGTGGTCGCGGTTAGTTGACTCTGTTCTTTACTCTGCTTTTCGATCTCGGCGATTTGTTGACGCTGTGCAGAGGGGGCCGATATCTCCATACCAAGAATGATGTCACGGATTTCCGATTGTGTGAGCGACGCCACATTTACACTGTTAGTAAAATCGTGTTAAAAGTTAATGTATTTAATATGAATACTGCTAAAGTATTAAGGCACCTGGTTACAAGAGAAAATTGTCATTTAAAAAATTAATATATTCTGTTTTAAATTTTCAAAAAACACTTAATGGACATTTATCTGATCATTTATTTTCTATACTCACGAATGTATAGTATTTATGGACGATAACGAGATTAGTATTATTATTGAAAACTCACTTATTCTTCTTTCCATAATCAGCTAATATTAGGTCCTTCAATTGAACCTCAACTTTGATCCAATCATCATCCGTTAAAGTGGGCCAAATGTGGTGAGGTTCCGTGAAAGTGGTTTTATCGGGTTTCAAGAGGACCTTCGTGCGTTCTGTGTTCACGTGCAAAGCACGGAGTATCAGGATGAGCC